GGGCAGCCATGCTGTTGTTGTGGGCTTGGCTGGGCTAAAAGATGCGAGAAAAGCAGAACACGGGGGGATATGAAGTGGAAGATGGATTCAGAAAGAGTTTCTTGTAGCGATTTAGGAGCTCGGATTTCTAATAGCCCGCAGCGCAGGCAACTCCAAATGACGAGTTGTTCCTGGTGCTTTGGCCCAATCTCCAAGTCAACCATATCGTGACGCAGGCAAGGACATGACTAAGCATATCTGTCACGTGATACCTCTTTGGTTAGCCCAAGAGAATGGTTTAGAAGGCTGAAGATGCATGTCAGCTATGATGGTGTAGGTAAGAAATTTGGTAGGCTTGATGGATTTGGATCTTGAATTCATGCTCTTTAATATTGGGTAGGTGAAGTGATCTGCATGATATGCTTCAGCAACCTAAGGTTGGACATAGACGTAAGCCATCATCTGCTTGAAAGAACAAGCATGAAATAGGTACTGGCCCATGCAGTGATACCATGCGACAGCACTGCTCAACGTTACATGCATTGACTGAGCTTGGATAGTTGTTTCCTGATCTGTTAGAGAGAGTAACACGCCTCGTTAAAGTGAAACGAATCCAGATGGTCCAAGAGACACAAAAGTCTCTTTGGTTATGGATGCGGCTCTGAGGTTTTGGCTGACTGAGTGTAAGATCGGCCTTGTACACGGGGAGGGTTACGCCCGGAAACGTCGGGTTGACTTGGTCCACTACCGAATGCTCCGTGAACCGGGCTCTTCGGCGCACATTGTCGGGCGAGGAAAATTATTGTTAAAAAGGACTTTGATTTATATTCAAAATCTTTTCGCCTTTCCCAATCGAGACGGTTGGGCATTTCGTAAATAGATCAAATAGTGTTGATGAGGATGCACCAAGGATAACCTCACCGGTATGGATACCGAAAAAAATCCACTGACTGATGACCTCGCTCCTAGCATCAAGATACCCTGTCCTTCCTGCACCCAATCGCGCTGCTAATCTTGGAATGCAAACGGCTTCGTAATCGCACCGGGGGCAGTGCTCGCCTTGTTTCGGTTGACGAGATAGCAGGACGGACAGGCGAAAGGGGACCTCAATCCGAGACGGTAATAGTAACTTGTCTCTTGACGGGGGGGGGAACATCCCTCTGTTTACCTTGATGCCCTCGACAGTCCTCGAATTCCTTTGTCGCACTTTGACAATACAAGAGGAGCCAACAACGTCTTTTGCGAGGGCAGAGACGACATGGATGACAGCGTAGTAGCTTTTCCCTGGATGGCGCCCCGCACCGATAAAGGCACGCCCGCTTGGCGCAACATGGAGATGTTTGCTAACAAGGCCTGTCAGATATGATGCGAGTGTTGTGTCATGGATGGCTAAAAATCTCATCGGCTTCACGCTACTGTGTAAAGTCTGACCAGTCCCATGTCTCCGCGATGGCCAGACAGCTCGCTGTTTTTGGAGTCGTTGAGTTGACTGTACTTCTGGCCTTTGTCAATGCTTGTTTGTGTGTGAGCTGGATAATCAAAATTGCGACCCGTTTTGCAAGCCTTGCGATTCGTCATATCGGTCTGCGGCCGAGCTCGAAGACCAGCTGAAGCGTTGCAAGGGACTGGTCGATCTGCAAGCAGTATCCAGGGCCCTGGTCCTGACGGATGCGGGATGCAGCTAGAGAACAGGAACCCGAAGCCCAAAAGCTTGGGGAGCTGGTAGTCAGGGCGTCTGTGTTTATCAAAGCAGTGGCCGTAGTGCTGTGTTGTAATGAAGCCGAGAAACCGCATAGACTCTGGACAAACTCAAGCTGGATATTCCACCGTGTCTGGTGCCATGGCAATGAGAAGTTATTGTAGGCCGCAAATTGCTATGCAATTGTTCCAATTGGGGAACGCCCTGCGCCGTCTTGTGCGCATAAGCATCATCGACCTCATTGGACACAGCGAGAAGCCGGACATTGACCCGCGAGCTCGAAAGATGTCGTCGCTTTGGCTGTGCCAGAGGGTGCGGTGCAGAGCGATGTCCCAGCCGCAGGTGGATGTAAGAAATAATCTCTCATGCGTAAAAGTGATCCACCAACAAATGTCCAGAGCCCTGGAAAAACCTCCCATTTGCCAACTGCTCAGCTGGCGATAGAGGCGGCGTGCTGCAGTGGCACGCTTCGGTAGACGACGGTCCCAAATCCAGACGGGTGGAGGAACCAATGTTGTTGCAACGGTGGCCCCAGGGAGTCTTTGGCTTGATCGAATGGCGGGCGTGGAAGTGGGCAATCAACAGGGTCTGGAAAGTGACCAATTCCTGTGTGTGTTGGTGGGAGGCAAAAAATGAACTATCACGAGGATGGTTGAACCCTGGTGCACCGCACGTCTTCCTCCTCCACGTTTGCCTTGGCGCCGATGAGCGGCGTACCGAGATCTTGCTGGGAGCAGGGCATTTCGGCATGGGGATTGGATCCACGCCACACTGTCAGTTTGAGTTGACACCATGTGAAGGAGGGTTTATGACCAGTGCGTCTGTACTGTACAGTACTTTGGGGTTCGCATGCTGAATGCGAACAAAGGGAGACTCGCACGGTTGGTTGACCAACAGTTATCGCAAGCTGTTGTCTCGAGTTGCAGGGTCCAAGTGAGACAAAGACAGGCCATCATTTCGCCAGTAACCTATCTGACAACACGCCGAGCCTGAGAGGCATGAGAGCGTTGTGGGTAATATCTTGGTCTGAAGAGTGTTCAGCACTGGCCCTCTTGATATACAGAGTGGCGAGAAACCAAGTCAATGCGATTGATTGAGCATAGCATAACCTGGTCAACGCTGATTGTCCTGCCAATGATGTGTAGCACACCTGGAAAGAACTCGGCCACAACTCTTCGCCTCAGCTGTCGACCTCTGGTTGTTCCTGTAGCACGTCGTAATGACGAGGGTCCGACACAACGAGGCTTGCCCACAAGACGAAGCAAGGGAGAGATTTTGTGGTTGAGACAGCAATCTCGGACATTGGACCCTTTCCGTGATGAAGAAGAATCGCAAACGAATTGACCACGATGACCAGGAAAATGCTCAGTCAAATGAAGAGCTGAGACAATGTCGCTACCTTTTTGGTTGCGCACATTCCCGCACTTGGTCCGCACAAGCAAAATGGTGACTTGACCAGAGAATGACGGGAAGACGCCCTAGACTCCCCGTCATTCCACGCGCCCGCGCTGCTGCTGCCAAGGTCCAACTTTACGAGCCACGGCTGTGAAAAAAGAGGCCAGTTGCATCTGTCTCGATGTCATTCAGGCCTCACGTTGGTGTTGTCGATCCAGCAAATCATGGCTGCAAGCTGCCCTCCTTGCTGCTGCCGGCCTCTTTTAACTGGACAAAGCGAGTCGTGAGCAGGCCCTTGCCAGTTCGCTGCCGTTGGTCGACTATCGCCGGTTGCGTCCTTGCCTAGATCGGGTTTGCCCTCTCGATCAATCAATCCATCCGTCAGTGCTCCAGATGCCCTATGATTTCATGATCCACCTCGAGCAGGGCTGCGCTCACAGGGGTACGGTACTGCTAGTTCGTCTCGCCCAGCTCCGTCCGGCATCCAGCGCCCAGCGTTCAGCGTTCTGGCTGGCTGCCCGTCAATCCAAACGGTGACCGGCGCTGACTTGACTTTAGCTGGACTTGACCTGGGCACAAGGGATTGTAGCGATAGTGGCACGCCCGCCGTCAGGGATAGCCCTGGTTTCTCAAGCCCACAGGGCAGGCCTTTTCAGCGCAGCAGGCACACCAAAAGCTTCCATGGCTGATACCCACCACCGGTTCTCAGCCTGCCCCAAACCTGGCTTCGCTCCGTCCACGGTACTTGATACGAACTGTGCCGGCATCGTCGAGAAACGACCAGGATCCCCCATCGATCGCTCTGCGGTCCCGGGTCTCTGGTGATGAGATGAGGATGGGCTTGTTTCTCATGTTTCGTCGGCACTCTCTGACCATCAGCATCGCCCTCTCCGTGATGCTGTATGGCCCGCGCCGAGACTGAAGCTGCCGGATGCATCAAGTTTGGATACTGTGCGGCGAGGAGTGAGAAGCAGCTAGGGCAGGGCCCACAGCTCTCGTCTCTGTCCTTCTCCTTCTCCTCCCTTCCATTCTCTCCACATGGCGACACACACTTTTCTCGAGACACGCCCACCCGCAGGGCACGTCTTGCGCCCTCCCACCACCATCTCATCTTCACAGGTAGTGAGCCTCCTCGCCGGGGGCCTTCCCCTCCACTGGAAAAGTAATTCGATGTTGTGCGTTTCGTTCTCCAAAAAGCCCTCTTCCTGGCCCTTGCCCCCTCTCTTGTCTCTGGTGCTGTTTCCTTTTTTCTTCTCTAGTCCAGTGCCTTGTCTGCCTGCCTGTCTGCCTGACCTGTCGTAAAAAATCTGCTGCTTCCAAAAGCAATCCATCGCATCCTTGGTCGTCGTCTCTTGTCGCCGTCTCCGTCGTCATTCCCATCGTCGTCGTCTCTTGTGTCATTGCTTCTTGTCTACATACTGCTGCCAAGTTGCTCTCGGTCGCCAAACCAAACGCTTTGTCCGCGTCGGTCGCGTTACGGAGTCTCCGTTGCTGCGCCTGCTTGCCCAGGTCCACGCTGCGTGCGCTGCTCTGCGCTACTCTGCGCTACAGTACCTAACCTACCGTTGCCATCATCCATCTCATCTGGGTTCCGCACCGCACGCCCTGCAGCCGCTCCGTCACTCGCCCAGCGACTTCATAGCGTCATTCGTCCGTCGCCGTGTTTCAGTGCCACCCTTAGCACGCCCACTCCAAGATCCAAGATCCCCTTGTCAGCGGATACGGCAGCCCTCACGCACGCCCCCTGGTCGATAATTTTCCCCTACCCTCGTCCCCGCGTGCCCCCGATTGTTCCCAGGACCAAGGCCCAAACAAGGCAAGGTTCAGAAAAAAAAGCTCTTGCCTTTTTTTCTTTGCCGTCTCCCGCATTACGACTCATCCCACGACTCTCTTTCTGATTCTTCCCCTCCATCATCTTTGTCCTCATCACGGTTTTCACGGCTCTTCCCTTGCGCGTGTTTCGGAAAGTTGGCTGTGACAGTTACTGTTGTTTTTGTTGGCGCCTAAAAGTGAGTATGCTTTTCTTCGTTGCCCCTTTGTCCGTCGATTCCCTGCATTGTATCGTGTTGTGCGCTTGTGGTTGGCATTTGTGGGTGGTTTGGTGGAGGCCTGTGAGATGGAGAGAGTCTGGCATCGTCTTGCCTACTACGCGCGCCATGACGAACGATGCGAACGTTATCAACGGCCGAGTCCGTAACCGCCTGGAGTCTGCTATGGAATTGATGAGTCCATCGAGGCATCGACCTTGATGAATCGCAACCCCGCCCCACTGTTGAGCGTTGGTTCTGCTACATCGCGGACACACTTCGACTGTGATCGCCTACCCTCATCGCCTATCCGACCTCGATCGCGCGCTTCGGTCCGTCTTCGCGCTAGATGCGCAACCTCTCGCCTTTGTCGCATTCTCGCATCGTCACTCTCGAGATTCGCACCACTATCGCATGGTTGAGCACGTCGCGACCATCAGTCTCGCACCTTTGTCAAGCCAAAACACCATCGCCATCGTCATATTTTCCAGGAATCAATACCAATGCGCCGAACCGCTCCGTCGGCCTCCCAAGATGCGCCAGAAGTCGATTGCTTGGAAAGAAGGCTCTTGAAACCCGAACAGCATAGTGGAACGATGGGCATCAAGCGCATTGCTTAGGCTCGGAGCATACTGTTGGACTTCCAAGGCGCAAACTCACAGCCACCCCGCTTGGCTCGGTGTTATTCCTCCTGGTGGAAGTCTGGAGATTAGGCATCCTGCGCCCTGTATCGCTACCTGATGAGTCTCGGCCTGGTTCCTCCTTGAAAGACTCCCTCAAGGACCCGGGTTGAATTGGAGTCACGGAACATCGCAATGCCATTTGCCCGTGGAGGGTGGGACTGGACCTGAGGCTCCTGGTGGACCACTCAACACATCTCTATCAGCCCAAAACTGGAACCATATCACGGCCTCCATCAGCACCTCCAAAGCCACTTGCCATACCTAACCTAGACGGCGGCAATTTGACCAATCCCCGGACATTGTGCTAACATGCAACAATAGGTTCAGCTCATTTCGGGAACGTTTGCAGCTATCTTACCACATTCCTTTGGAATTTCTGGTAAAGCGTATCAACCCGTGTGAGAACGACGATTTCGCGTTTTGCACCTCAATCCCTCGAAAGCATTTCATTGCTAGTACCGGCGTGACGGCGTCTGAGAGACTCTTGATTCACATCTGTACGACTACTTTTCGGAGTCTTGGTCTTGGGTCTGGACATTAGTCTTTTTCCAATTCGTTCCCACATCCCGGTTTCATTTGCAGATTCTACCCTTTGGGAATAGACTCGGCGTGAAGGTAGGCAAGCTTTTGGTGGCAAAGTCGGGAGTTGATTCTCGCCGACGTCGCTGGTTCCAATACTTGTGCTAACCCGGCGATCAGGTCTTACGATCCAAATATAGCGACTTACTTCGTTGTGCTCGTTTTCAGTACACTCGATTCCTCAACGGTAAGCGGCAGACTTTGTTCCCCTCCGGTTCTACTCCCTTGATGCTCTGGATGGCGGGGACCCTCCTTGTCTTGAAGGTTTGAGATCACGGGTGCCCGAGTCATCAGTGTTGAGTGGCAGCAACCATCATGCAGCATGACCCAGATTAAGCCTCAAGATCTGTCTTCTGCGCCATCATAATTGTTGGGGAGTTGTCACGTTGCTCTTCGGTGACGTGGAAGAGGCAGGAGCCGAGTTACTTAAAGGGATTCACTCCCGAGTCGCAGCAAGAGCGCCTCCCAACTCGACATCTCCCCTCCCGCTGCATGCGCATCCTTCTTGACACCTTTTTGTTCTCGCAATCGACTTCGAGCAAATGCTGATAGGCCTCTTCTAGCTCTTCTACGACTTGTGTTTACGACGTGTACGAGTTTTATCACGCACGGTAAGTGATGATTCATTTGCGATGTTTATCCCCTGCCGTCGGGCTATCGGACAATGCGGCCCTCGGAGGAGCTGATGGTCGAATCCTCCACCGGACAAGACATCAACAAACCTGGCGATGGATTTTCAAGGTCCAGCGACTCGCGGAGTTTCCAGATCCTACCGACATGGAATTTTTCCTGAACGGGATGATTTTCTGGTTGCTGATTCACCAACCACTGTTGCGCCAGCGCCTCTCTGGCGGGCACTGTCAGCAGTGTCTAACATATCCTCGGCATCCTTCTTTTTGCTCTGGCTCTGGCTGTGGCTTTGGCTCTGGATACACGGCGAAGCGTCGGCTCTGTTGACTTTGTCCCACCTCGCTTTTCCCCACTTGATTTTTCTCTCCCACATCACCACTTCGCATAGCCAGCGGCCTGGCTTAATGCGCTTTCGTATCAGGACTGGTACAGATTGCTAATTCGCCTGTTTTAGCCTCCTTTCTTTGTTGCCTTGCTCATCTCAGCTTCGCGACGTCTTCTGGTAGGTCGAATCTCCAGGCGCAAAGTATAGCCATGTGTGCTAACCATCACAGAATTGCACCTTTCGCTCTCGCATCTTTGATCATCTGAGCTATTCTTGACACCAGTACGTGCATCTTCGATCAACTGAGCTACCCTCGACTATCGGTACGTCGCGCGCCACACTACGAGCCAATGGCCGCGAGCCCCCGACCGTCGCAGGATACTAGCTCTTTGGTCAACCCTTGACTGATGAACTGTGGTTAACATACTATCTAGCTCGAAATGGACCCTCTCAACGCTCCTTTCTCTGGCGTCCCGGCCAATGGTGGCGCTCCTGCCAACCAAATGTCGTTCCCCAACGGCACCCCTCCCAACCCCGACATGGGAGCCGTTGCCCCTCCACCGGGCGCTGGCCAGGAGCCTCCTAAGACGACTCTCTGGTATGTTGAAGGATGAATTGGCTTGTAGGGCTAGCATGGCTGACTGAGAACAGGATGGGAGAGCTCGAGCCCTGGATGGATGAGAACTTCATCAAGGGTGTCTTCCTTTCGGCCGCCGGAGAAACCGTCAATGTTAAGGTTATCCGTGACAAGAACTCCGGCAACGCTGGCTACTGCTTCGTCGAGTTCCAGTCCCCCGACGCTGCTACCAAGGCCCTTGGCCTTAACGGCACCCCTGTCCCCAACAGCTCTCGTCAATTTAAGCTGAACTGGGCCTCTGGTGGTGGACTCGTTGACCGTCGGGACGACCGTGGCCCCGAGTACAGCATTTTCGTTGGCGACCTCGGCCCTGAAGTCAACGAATACGTTTTGGTGTCCCTTTTCCAGGCCCGTTTCCCCTCGTGCAAGTCCGCCAAGATCATGACGGATGCCATGTCCGGTCAGAGCCGTGGCTACGGTTTCGTCCGCTTCTCCGACGAGAACGATCAGCAGCGGGCTCTTGTCGAGATGCAGGGTGTCTACTGTGGCAACCGACCCATGCGCATCTCTACTGCCACCCCCAAGAACCGTGGCAACCACGGCTTCGGCCACGGCCAGCACAACGGCGGCCCCATGATGGGCGGCGGTGTTATGCCCCAGCAGCAGATGTGGAACGGAGCCCAGGGCTTCTACGGTGGCTTCAACCCCGCTACCCAGATGAACCAGTTCACCGACCCCAACAACACCACCGTCTTCGTCGGTGGCCTCTCCGGCTACGTCACCGAGGACGAGCTGCGGTCCTTCTTCCAGGGTTTCGGCGAGATCACGTATGTCAAGATCCCTCCTGGCAAGGGTTGCGGTTTCGTCCAGTTCGTCCACCGTCACGCCGCCGAGATGGCCATCAACCAGATGCAGGGTTACCCCATTGGCAACTCCCGTGTCCGCCTGAGCTGGGGCCGATCGCAGAACAACTCTGGTGTAGGTACTCCCTACCGTCCTGCCCCTCCCCCTCCCCACTACATGGGCATGCCCAGCCACGGTCCCGGTAACTACGGCCCCCAGCACTTTGGCGGCCCTGCTCCTGGTCCCCAGGGACCTCCCGGACCTCCCGGCCCCCCCGGACCCGCCGGTCCTCCCCAGGTGAGTAGCACGGAGCATGTGGAAGGAAACATCTCTAACGTGTGTCTAGTAATTTGATCACGACCAACTCGTTGACGAAGGGGCTTTTATACGACCAACGCCCCACGCTATTTTTTCCTTGGACTCAATTATCTTGCCTTGTCATTAGCCATCGTGTCTCGCAGATTTAGACTGCCTGCCGTGGCTAGTGAATGCGATGATACCCATGTTGCCTTTGACTTGGGATCATGGCTCTTTAAGTTTTATGGCAGCTCTGGATTTCCGATACGACACCACGCACCCCATTCCCTTGGTCTGAATCATGATTGGCGTTGGAGATTTTCGGTCCCCCTCCCGGTGGATTGTCATCAGTTCAAATTCATTTAAGCTAATTGCTGCTATGCTTTCTTTCCGTTTGCTTTGGTCACTCGCTGCTTTTCCTTGCTGCTTCTGACTGTTTTCAACTCTGGCGAACATGGTACTGCGTGATGTTGTCATGGCGTCGTTGCAAGTCTTTACCGCTCTCTGTCTGGTTATAAATGATTCTTCGTAGTTGGTCCAATCATGAGGGCTTAGCGAACTAGTCATTGGCTGAACGTCTTGCGTGACGGGAGATGTGGTCACGAAGGAGGAGGATACTCTTGGGCATGTTTACGAATTCCTGTTCAAAGCTTGTATGGCGCGTTGAGGACGGTTTGTATGGGGCTATACCATTGTACCTGGAGTGTTTGGGGATATTGGAAGCCAAAAAGTCAGGGGGTTCAAGAATGGTCTGGTCTGGTATGGTTGGTCTTTGGTGTGTGAGGTTTGTTTCTTGACGAGTGGCGATGAGGAGTTTGGCTTGTGGATTAGGGAGGAGTTTTGCAGCAACAACTGAATCAAGCCCTTCGTTAGCAGTGAAGCTTTTGGATGAGATATCTCCACACTTCTGAATCACCTCCACCTACGATCAGCTGACGTAATTGAGGCCAAGACAATAGGGTTTCTCGTCTGATTGGGTGTGGTTGTGGATTGGAGGAAGTTTCTAGGTGCGCCTACATCCGAGTTTAACGAGTGTCGATGCAGCATGATATCTTCATGACCGTGTGCTAAGGTATGCGGGCGAACTCTATTCCGCAGCAACTTAAAGACGACGCCTTCCCTTCCCCTTTTGAGCCATTCACACTGAACCAACTTACTTACTGTTGATGCAAAGTACAAACCATGTCCTCCTCTCCCACCGTCGACTTGACCCCATTCCCCGCAGCCGCCCCCGCGGGTCCCACGACCGAGCTTCGCTTTGCAGACGTGAGCCCGAGATGCTATGAATCATTATTACCTGTCCCATTGACCGTTGTTACAGGTGGCTGTTACGGCGACTGCGAATGAGTTCAAGGGTATCTACCGTGGAAAGAAATGTCACGAGCCAGACTTTGTTCACACCCTGGAACGGGCCAAAGAGGCTGGCGTGAGCAAGGTCATGCTCACCGGCATGTCCCTCGCTGATGTGTCCTACAATGAGGCCATCGCCAAGTCCCGCCCTACGCAGTGCTACATCACCATTGGTGTGCACCCGTACCATGCTTCTGAGCTGGATGAGGGCGGTAAGACGTATCTCAATGATCTAGAGCAAAAGGTCAAGGATGCGCTGGCGCAGGATCCTGTTCACATTGCCGCCTTTGGTGAGCTAGGCCTCGACTACGATAGGGAAGTTCATGCATCCAAGGACGTGCAGAAACGTGCCTTCAAGGCTCAGCTTGATCTCTTTGTTGAGAACAAGTGGGATCTTCCGCTGTTTCTGCACTGCCGTGCCGCGTTTGACGACTTTGTCGAGATCATGACACCCTACATGGATAAGCTGCCCCGCCGCGGTCTCGTCCACAGCTTCGTCGGCTCCGCGTCGCAGATGGAGAAGCTCGTCTCCATGGGCCTCGATGTGAGCGTCAACGGATTCAGCTTCAAAGACGCCGAGAGTCTAGAAATGGCATCGAAGATCCCACTGGGCTCACTACAGATCGAGACGGACGCGCCGTGGGGGGAGCTCAAGTCGACCTCGGAAGTTGTGAAGCGGTACTGCACCAATGCCAAGGCTCTTCCGGCGTCCAAGAAGAAGGACAAGTGGGATGCAAAGTGCATGATCAAGGAAAGGAACGAGAGCTGTTCAATTGAGAGGGTTGCGTTTGTCGTTGCTGGGTTGAAGGGTGTTAGTGTTGACGAGGTTGCCGCGGCGGCGTGGCAGAATAGTGTCAAGATGTTTGGCCTCGGAAGAAGATAATGAATAGTATATATATGCATAGTATGGACCTACATAGTATGATTCTACACAAAATCTACAGGTTCAAGTAAAGGACTAGTCTCGATACGTGATGGACACTACCAGGTGAAAGTGGCTGACGAGAGCCAGTGGATCCAGACGTATTCGGATCCAGATGAAGCTATACGAATATCGAAACTGCGCCTCATAATTGGATCCTAAACGAGTCAAATACTCGTTATCGATCGTGAACTTTTGTTTCAAGATGCTCAAGGCTGCAGTTTTGAGGGTTGCCCTTAACAACAGGCTTCACCGCCCAGGCAGCGATCAAGATAAAATGGACGCATTCCCCATGACAGGTTGAGGCACATTCAACGGAACTTGACAACTTGACTCATCATGCCTTTCGATCTCAACTCTGTTCCCGACTATGATGACCTTCCCAAGGTTGAAGGTATGCCCAAGGGCTGTGCTTGGGGTGTCTTTGACCAAGACGGGGAAAAGGACATGGTCGGAACACTCAACTTCCTGACTCCAGAGGTTGTCAAGAACGCTGCTTTAGAAGTCAAGGATGGAGTCTCAATCTCTCTCAAGTAAGAAACATTCCTTCAATTGTGACGGCACTGACCCGTCCAAGCTGGCCCATCAATGCCATGAACAAGCTTGCTATTCCTGGGCGCAAGGCAGCTGAGCATAGAGTCCTGTACATCCCCGAAAGCCTGGCTGAGCTTCCTTTCGAACAGGGCAAGTCGTGGGACGATGAACTTGACTTTAATACACAGGGCAGCAGCCAATGGGATAGTCTATGCCATTTTCAACACCAGGACTCTGGCTTGGCTTATAATGGTGCAAACCCGGACAAGGAAGCTTTGTCTGCTGAGTCGACTGCCTCGAACACCATGCCGACGTTGGATCACTGGCATACACGAGGGTGTATTGCCGGAAGAGGTGTCTTGATTGACTATGTTGCCTACGCCGAGGAGAAGGGTATCGAGTTTCACCCTTTTGACGGAAACCGCATCACTGTGGAGGATCTGGAGGCTTGTGCCGCACACCAGGGTGTCGAGTTCCGCCCCGGTGATGTTCTTCTTGTGAGGACTGCGGCTACAGAAGTCGTCGACAAGATGGACCCCGTAGGTTTGGGCAAGATGACCGCCGCCAAGCTCTCTGGTCTTCACGGGTGCGAGGAGACTGCGCGATGGCTCTGGAACAAGCGCTTCTCGGCTGCTGCATCCGACTCGAGCAGTTTTGAGGCGTTTCCCCCGCTGAAGCCTGATGGATCAATCGGTGGGATGAAGGACCTGGGTAAGTCAATCGCCTGAGTTATTGAGAGTATTGGTTAATATGGTATAGTGCTTCACACATATTGCCTCGGCTTCTTTGGCATGTCAATTGGCGAACTATGGGATCTCAGCAAACTAGCCGCATACTGCAAAGAGAAGAAGCGCTACTCTTTCATGATCACCTCGTCGCCTTTGAATCAGCCGGGACTAATTGGATCGCCTCCAAATGCGCTGGCCATCTTTTAAGCGTTGTATGTAATTGAGGGAGGACAGATGAGGATAGCCGCCGATGGACTCTCCGCATTCGCAGGTGCCGGATTTCCTTTCTTGGAAGCCCGATGGGGGCGGGGTGGAGGTCTTTGAGGAGCGATTAAAATGTTCCCATGACCTTGAAGGATAGAGAATAAATACTTCTTGATGGTTTGTTACTTTTGCGACCAAATATAATCATCGAATCGGCAATCGTTGGTTGAATAACCTGGGTCCAAGCTGAGCGTTGGCCACAGTCCTTGAGCAAGCGATCATCACCTCGAAAACCTCACCTACCGAGGCAACATTGACCAGTTAGAGCCGAGTTCGAGTTCGGACTTGAATCGCTTACTCGAGTCTCTGATAACACAATCAAAATGGCATCTATTCAACGACCTAATCGCCGCATCGTCGGCGTCTCGACAAAGCTGTACTTCTCCGCCGCTCGTACCCGGGAGTATGTCGATCAGCTCCTACAACTCCTCTCCGTCGACTCTTCACTCCTCAACGATATTGACGTCTTCATCATTCCCGACCACGTAACTCTCGTATCAGTCATCAACCAAGTCAAAGACCACAAAATCTGGTGCGGTGCCCAAGATACCTTCTGGGAGGATAGCGGCGCCTACACAGGCGAAGTATCGTCTTCAGTCCTAGCCGAAGTCGGAACCCGTCTCGTCGAGGTCGGCCACGCAGAGAGACGTCGAATCTTTGGCGAAACGGATGAAATCACGGCAAAGAAAGCAGCCGCTGCCGCGCGGAACGGGATGATCCCCCTGGTCTGCATCGGCGAGCAAACCCGGGGCGAAACCCACACGACAGCCGTGACCCAATGCCAAACCCAGATCGAAGCCGTCCTATCAGCCGTCCCGGAAGATGCCGAAGTAGTCTTTGCCTACGAACCCGTCTGGGCCATCGGAGCAGCGGAGCCAGCAGCTGCTGATTATGTGGTTGGTGTCACGTCTGCGATTCGGAAACTGGAGAGCATTCAGAAGAGAAGCGGGTCTACGAGGATTTTGTACGGGGGGAGTGCGGGACCGGGATTGTTTGAGAAGCTCAAGGATGGTGTTGATGGATTGTTTTTGGGGAGGTTTGCTCATGATCCTGACAGGTTTGTCAAGACGATTCAGGAGGTTGCTCGGGGATGAAGCTGTCGTGGGGATATTCGAGGCCCTTTTGGAAGACATATTGTCTAGTATGATAGATTCACTGATTTTCGGTATCATGATTACTTCTATGACAAAATGGAACGCTTCTCTACGGCAAGAGGCCCTCTATGACTTTGCCATAAGACACTTAACCCCTCCCTGAAGGCTCTTAAGGACGTGAGGGGTTCGTTTGAAACTTCTGTGTCACCATAGGAGTGCTCCATGATTTTCTCAAGCCGATTCATCTAAGGCTATTCAGATATGGGCCGCTTTCCACGGTTTATGTCTTCATGCCTACGGTAACCTGAAGCAGTAAAGAAGAAGAGATGTTTGGTATTCTCCCAACACAGGTCGGCGGATCACCCGATGCCGTGAATCTGGCAAAGACTTGCCTTATTTCAGATCTTGGGGATATCAAAGAATTTGTCAAAGTTAAAGAGAATGAATGAGTGAGCGATTCATGCCTTCATGCGGGCAGGCCCTTTATACATGTCAATCTCGACTTACCGCCGTATCATTACCAATCCGACCAACTACGAAAAACCCGCAGCCCATTATCGAAGGATCAGATATTTCCTAACCCAATTGGAGGAAAAGCATCAAGATCCTAGATCTTTTCCTATCCAGATCCATACTCGGTTATCTCAACTTCAGACGCGCCGCATTCGGATTGCCTCATTGTGGATCTCGTATTCGGGATCTTGACCAAACACCAGCCTTGGAGCAACCCGCGGATAGTCGTAACCGAGCGATACGCTCTATCGTAATTCTTGTTCGTTTTCGCAAAAGGATTGCAGCAAGAACTACATGGATGAGAGGTAGGTGTTTGAAGCGAGCCGCAGGAGGTTATGGGGTTGGCCAGCGAGCTTTCAATCTTAAGCGATGGGGAGTATCAAAGCCAGCCTCCGCTACGAGGGCACCGCAATTGTATATAAACAGAGGGTTCTTCTTGATTGAAGTTTCTACATCCATCACTCAATTAGTCTTTTTCTTTATTGTCTGTTCATTGTCATTCTTCCAAATTCAACAACTCAACTATCAGAATCAACAAACCAGCACAATGTCAACCTCAGAACTCATTTCCTATGACGAGGCGAGGAACCATGCCTTTGACAGTGTTCTTCACCGACAGTCAAAGAATTCCAAGGGCGGAATGCGTGCCATGATGAACAAGAACAACAAGGCCCATGCTGCTGCCGTTGACGACTACTTTCAGTACTGGGACAACAAGAAGGCTGAGGACGAAGTCCAGGCCGTTCGACAGGAGAGAACAGACAACTATGCGAGCCTCACAAGACAGTGAGTTCCTCAATTTCTCTAAACCATGACCATCTACTGACTGTTTAGATATTACAACCTGGCTACAGATCTCTACGAGTACGGATGGAGTCAAAGCTTTCACTTCTGCCGCTTCGCCTACGGAGAGACTTTCCACCGCGCCATAGCTCGCCATGAGCACTACCTAGCCCACAGCATGGGAATCAAGCCGGGCATGAAGGTTCTTGACGTTGGCTGCGGTGTCGGTGGCCCTGCCCGTGAGATTGTCAAGTTCACGGGTGCCCACGTGACGGGTTTGAATATCACCGAGTATCAAGTCGAGCGGGCCAGGGTCTATGCGGACAAGGAGGGTCTATCTCATAAACTCAAGTTTGTGCAGGGAGACTTTATGGTGAGTCTTGTTCTACTCCTCTGCTGCGTGGTTACTTACCAAGGTGTTTGCTTTGTAGAAAATTCCGTTCCCCGACAACTCTTTCGACGCTGTCTACGCCATCGAAGCGACTGTGCACGCCCCTTCGTTGAAAGACGTCTACAGCGAGATTCTACGAGTGCTGAAGCCCGGTGGTGTCTTTGGAGTCTATGAATGGCTCATGACGGAGGAGTACGACAATGATGATCTCGAGCAGCGACGCATCCGGCTCGACATTGAGCAAGGCGACGGCATTGCGCAGATGTTCAAGATCTCGGACGGTCTCAACGCAATCAAGGACGCGGGCTTTGAACTTGAGCAGTACGAGGACCTCGCAGCCAACGATGACGGCCCTGCACCTTGGTACTGGCCGCTAGACAGCGACATGCGATATGCGCAGTCTCTCGCCGACATGTTGACCGTGATCCGGATGAACAAATGGGGTCGTCTGGTGATGCACAACTTTATCGGTGCACTCGAGAGTCTCTGGATCGCACCCAAGGGAACAAGAAAGACTGCCGAGAGCTTGGGCAAGGCGGCAGATGCACTGGTTGAGGGTGGTAAGAGGAAGTTGTTTACACCCATGTACCTGATGGTTGGCAGGAAGCCCGAGGCTTGATGAGTTTTTGACAGGGTTTTCATTGGGCAGGTTGTAAAATTGATATCATCTGATTTTGGAGGGATTGTGTAGTATTGGTATTCCATTAAGCAGTATAGATGCACGAGATAAAGAGGCTGAAAAGGCGGCATGTTTTGGATTCTGGAATCAGCGGGGTCCACACGAAAGTGCAGGTGAAAGCAGGTGCATATGCAACCACTACAAGGGCCGTTTAAGGAGGGCAACCATTAGCAAAGTCGGTCAAGCAGAGAGAAATATCGTTTCCATTTTATTGCTATTCGATTCAATTGAACCAATGCTCTGGTACTTTTGAGGGCCTTTTGAGTGTCGTCTAGGGTACCCACGTGCCCAAACCTTAACCAACGGTTAAATCGGCTGCCCAGACGCTAAAACCTCTACCATGTCGCAACCAAATCTCACCCAGCCTCTCTTGACCGCGCGTCCGACAATCACACGGCAAGGTTTTGTGATGGAATCATGCGGACGGAACAGCAGCGGCCCGGGGGAGGGAACGATCGAGAAGCCGCTATGGATCTTTTGCTGCGCTGGCATAGTCGCCGACAAGAGAGAGAGGCGTAGGTCCCGGAAGATATGCCACCCGCTTACCAAGTGCCGCGAATGGAAGATCTGTCAGCGGGCCCTAACCCCGGTCATCGAGGCAAGGCAAGGCGCAGTCTTGGCTTTTTGTTTGGGCTTGGAGATGGTGGCCGATGCTTGTCGATAGCATGGACCCCGGGAGATACTGGCCAGCCGGTGCTTGCCCAGATCACGGCGTCAGGGTTCAGTCCATGGCATTGACGACTTGTCCTGTTGTATGACGAACCCAGGTCGCACATCGTAGCGAGATCATTGGAAAACCGTACTGTACAAGGGGACCAGCTCCGATGCCCCAATGATGATCCCTCACAGGGCTAGTAGTACGCGGCGAATGGAACCCGTCCATCTCACGTCATCATCCCCTTCGTGGCGGCTTGCTAGCGCCTCCCATCCATGAACGCCAGCGGTTCAAGGGTGGGAGGGGATTGCGCGTGTGGCTGGCGATCGCTATTCCTTGAGACAGAGCTCGGCTCGTGCTACACTGATGCTTGCTACTGCTAGGTCGGGGATAATTTTTAATGCCCTACGGTCCCCCCTCCTCTTGCGATCGGCTTGAACCCTCTTGTCTCTTCCCCGCGAGTTGGGTTTGCTTCGTTGCGACCGACAGTTTCTCTTCCTCAGCAACACTGAGCAACCCGCACCGGCATAATAGCTTATCATTTGTGTTACGAATCAAGCTTGGAAAGAGACGGAATATTCTCACATATCGAGACGTGCGACGCAACGAAGACGAAGCCAAGGTCAAACAGCTCCAGAAACGAAACGAAACACCAAACACAAACATACTCAGACGTCACCATGCTGCGCAAGAAAGAAACCCTCACCATCATCACGCCGATTCCCGGCTTCATCCCCCGCCAGCTTGCCATCGACCTCCTCCACTCCCACAGCGAGATCATCACCCTCAACCCGCTCGTAATCTCGCACAAGCCTATTCCAGCGCCTCGCAATGCCGCCGCCGACGAGTACTACAGCACCTGGTATGAGATCACCGAGCGCATCCAGTATATCCCCGGAATGGGCAAGATTGGCTCTGGCAAGCTCACCTTCAACGGCTGCTTCCACGATATGCCCTGGGGTATGCAGTCACACATCTATATCCCTCTTGGTGTCGACATGAGGAATCGTTACCGGGTCCAGGGCAACCAGCCAGGAATTGAACCTCCCGAGCAGCCCGAGCTTGGCCTTGAGGAGTTGGGTGCACCCAAGGAGGGACTGTATCTGCGCACCGACGTCGACCTCAAGTGCAACATTACCATGATGGGCTTTGTCAAGGCCGAATCGAGAAAGGCCAGTGTGGAGATGGTTAACCGCATGGTCAAGAAGGCAGAGCTGCTTGATGCCGGCATTCTTAAGGGCATGTTTGAGGACGGAAAGCTCAAGACCATTAACCCTGCCGATCGATCAAGCGTCGCGAACAATCAGTTTCTGCGACAGCAAACCATGGCCGCCGACAATCAATTCCCTCCTGGCCCTGCTCCTATGAGTCCAGCTCCTCTTTACTCTCAACCTTACCAATACCCTCCTCAGCAGCAGCAGCCGCAGCCATCACCAACATATCAGTACGCGCGCCCGGGCACAAGCGGTTCTCAGTATCCCCAGTCGCCGTACCAGATGCAGCAAGCACAGGCCCAAGCGCAGACGCCTCCGCCACCTTTCCAGAACACCAACAACTACGCGCCTCCGATACCGCCAAAGACATCCATGCAGACCATCCCCATGGAACTCCCAGGTGACTATTATCACCCGCAGCGATCGCCAAGCCTGCACCAGTCCCAGCCGAGCCCCAACCTTGCCGCCAACAGCTACCGCAACTCGACCGCATCACAGGTCTCTTACGACCCAAGATGGTCTCACCCGCAGGCGAGCCCGTCGGTGCCCGACTCGCAGAGGAACAGCATGAATTCCCAGCACAGCGGGTACCCGGCGTCCCCCGGTCTTGCCCCTCAGGGTTTTACTGCCGAGTTATCAGCGCACAACGAGACGGCCGAGGAGCATAAGCACTAGCGGAAGCAAACTAATCATGACAAAAGCTTTTCTGTTTTTATCACATTCTTTTATGGAGCCAATGATTGCGCGGGATGGGTTGGAGTGCTGCAGGTGATACACGGGTCAGGCGTTGAGGTGCAAACTTGGTTATGTAGTTACGATTTGGTGCAATATACCCTGTTTTTGCAACTGAGATTCCTTTGTAGTGAAAACATGCAAACCTGAGAGAGCCAGTAGCCGTCGTTGCGAATGGCTGATTAATTGATGATGAAGCACGACTATAAGAACTGGCCGTTGTCCCCATGTTGGGCCGTACCGCAGAGAGCCATCCAGAACACCTACGATTGGGACTTTTATATATCCAGAACATATGTCGATACGAACTTTGTATATACCTACTACCACAGCATTTCCCTTGGTTGTCGCTCTCCTTCCTGCCCAACACACTACGGCAGCCCACCAGACTTGGAGGTCGCTCAACAAAGACAAGCGATCGCGATGCCAGAGGGCTGGTATCAGCTGGAGGGAGTTTCTCAGCGGCTAGATTCGCTTCTTGTTATCCCATCTTTCACCTATATACCCCATTCAAATCTTCTCGAGCACGGAGCACCCCTTGAACCAACTGAGCGCCTCTATATATAAGACCTGCACAGCCGTCTCTGCGATGTAGTCCGTCGAGCATTTCATGACTGGGTATGAATGGCCGGACGGAACGGCCTACCAACATGAGCGAATGATGGATCCCGAAGCCCAATATCTTCCTGCTTTGGCCTACCACTGGGTTCATCCAGGCCTTGCCTTCGCTGGGTGCTTGCTGCCGACTGCGCGTTACGAGGAGTGACAGACATTCTTGTCGACAGGAGTCAGGAACTCAAAGCAATGTTGGCAAACCTGAAGGGTCGAGAAAAACTGCTCAACTTGTTAACCCATCCATCTGTCCATCGGTCCGCCCCTTATATATCTTCATCACATCCTTGGAAAGGAGCGGTGGTCACCCGATACCTGCCTTCAATGGCATCAATCAGATTTCATCTAAACGATGTCGTGGGTCTGACATCCATCACCAACGCTGCTCGCATCGCTACCACACCATAATATATATAGCACAAGCACCCTTGTGCCCTCTCCGTTTTTCTCTGGAATTCGGACACAGTTGCGTGCGTTACTTTTCTCCCTCAGGTTGGTCGTCTTTGGGAGTCAGCGAATGCGAGACATTCCCAACTGAGAAACGTCACATTTTCCGAAGAGCTACTTCAGACAAGACATTCGACATGAAGCTCGACTTCATATCACAAGATTACGACTTCCTCGTGCCGCCTTTATAAGGCGTATCTCTCTATATAACACCCCTAAGACGAGCACTGCTCATATGCGGGACTGGTCTCTGTTTGATCTTCTAAGTGCCGTGGGAGATGCAATTGCGCGCGCCTCTCGCACCATGCAAGTATGAAGCATGAAAGGAGAGTTATCAATGTAAAAAGCGACGTTGGACAACAAAGCATATGGGACAAGCCAATAACATAATGTGTCCGTCGCTTGGCCTGATATTACGCGGTTGCGCCTTACTGGCACATACTTCCCAGAGCCTATATATATGTACCAGTCTGCCTTGGGAAGGATATCTCAATCCTGGTGCACGTCACCTTACCCAATCTTCTGACTGTAAAGGGGATTGTCGATGCCCGGCCTTCTCGAACCAATCAGAGAGAAAGAAGGAGATGTGTGAACAGCAGCAAGGTTTCGCAAACGAGACATGCCAGGAAAGACACTCGACATGAAGCCCAGCTCGACATAACGCGGCCTCGACTTGCTCGCGCAGACCTCACAGAGAGTACCTATTTTTATACCATCCCTGAGGTGAACGATCCTAAAAAATATCACCTTGTCCCATCTCGGGATTCCATGACAAGGTTGAATTGCGTGGGCGCCTCGAAGCGGAGAGATGAAAAGAGGGAAGTGGGCGCCATAGACACCAAGTACAAGAAGACCTTTGCAAACCAGATTCGTTCCGCTAGATGATCGATATTGCTTACAAAGCGCCTGCCCTCATATCATACAGTCTCGCCCTACTTGAATTGACTTCACAGAGTGAACCCTTCTATATACCACCCCAGAAGCAACCGATGTCTCTGCTCTGGCACACGCCACCTTGTCCCATCTTCCAGTTGCCGGGGGAAATGTGAATGTCTTGGCTTCTCGCATCAGGCAGAGATAAAGAGGGAGATGTATGACTTCGAAAGCAAGTACATCAACCTTTGCCAGCAACACACGTCCAGCGAGGCGATCGACAGGATTTATGAATGGTTTGGCCTCACATTTTGGAGTCCTATCATGGGAGTCCAGACTTCACAGAGCCTATATATATTATCCCGCGATCTACGACATCTTCTGGCTGCGTGGCTTCAGTTCGCTTGACTCCCACTCTACGTCGTGCCAGCTGAAGCGTTACGCGTAATCTCACATGGAATCCCCATTCGCCTTTGTTGAAAGTCGTGGGTATTCTAGCACAAACAATCTTGTCGTATCTGCAGAAATGCAAAGGACGATGCGATTGTGTGGGCTCTACTCTCTCATCGGATCTACTTATATAGCGACACCGCCCAGATGAGGCATAGCGAGCAAAGTGCTCGAAATGGCATATCGCCGTTGGCTGGATCCCACCGACACAGTCTCGCCTGGGGAGAGCTTCAAACTCTCATCACCTATTTTCCACCCCCAGAGCGTACAACGTCATCTTCTAGTGGAATCTTCGCGACATTGCACAGGTCCTCCAAGATCTGACCATGCTCCTGCCTATATACTTCCCCGAGATGTAAAATGTGTTCTTCTCCCAGCGCAACCTCCGACACATACGCCAGATCTTCCGGGTTCTGTGGGAGGCGCCGCAGGGCAAACCCTCCCTATATGTCAACAAAGTCACCTCTGGTCCAGGCAGTGCCGATCCGATTTCAACCAAGACCAGAATCGCTTCTGCAATGGGAAATGCAGCAATTGTATGGGCTTGTCGTGTTAATAGGAGACGAAGGAGGTGAACATCACATTTGACGCACAGCCTGCAAGCGTCATGGTTGTAATGGAGATGCCGACACGTATATACGGCTCTCAACCTTTTTGAAGGCATCTCTGCCGTTCAACACACTTCCTACCTAAATCACATGTTGCAGAGGAAAGTGTGATAATGACGTGGGTTTCCCTTGCTGGGCAGTCGTCAAGAAAGAGAAGAGCCCAGTTGCCACGATCACTGCGAGGAGGCAATCCAGACAACGAGATCAAGATTATATACACAGGGATTGGGGAGTTCTGGATAGCCCCTGTCACTAAGCACCACCCTCTCTCTTGCATTCTCGAGTGTCCGGGGAAATGCACGTACTCGCCGGCTTCTCGTGTTGGCCAGTGAATAACGTCTGTTGGTGACGATACAAGCAAGAGGAAAATTTCGAGGGATGTCCAATTTATATATATGGCAGTCGGCCTCGGCACGCACACAAAAAAAAGAACAATGCCTTGGGAAGCTCCGGCAAGCATTGCACAGAATCCCAATCGTATTCTTGGACGGGTATTTTTGCCCCCCCCCCCTGAGGTACACTCAAAAGTTCCAACCTGCTACTAGCCGTGAATCTCATTTCTTGCACAGAAGTTCATGGTGAATACTTCTTTGAGAATATTGTACTCGACGATATGCTCTCAATTCTCCCATCTGAGCTCCGCGAAAGCACCAACACGCAGCTCATTCAACTATATATATTGAATGCCTACTGAGGAACGACGGAGAAACTATAGGCTGCATTTGACCCTGTAGCACGGGCCAGTGCCCGATTTCCTCGGTTCGCCCAAAAGTCCTGTTTCTTTTCACCCCACTACCTGCATTCCGGTGATGGATATTCCCGATGCAGGTGCTAGCAGAGACTCAACCTCAACGATTTGAAGGTTCCTTGCGTATATATACTCGACTACTAGTCACTGTGGTGGCAAGGCATCAAGGTGATGCAAGACACGAACTCGCAAAGAGCTCTGGTTTCAAGGCAGAAACGAAACGGGGCTCCTATACTGTCTTCTAGCACATTGAGCACCAGGCACTGCTCACAAGGAGCTCGACATTATATATACGTCACTTGGCCTGGGATAGGATGAGATCCACTAAGCGTAGGTTACGCGGATAATGCAGAACTCATCACTGGACGCCCATCAGATCTTCGAAAGATCATGCTATCCGTGAGAGGTTTTTCCCATGGGCAGGTTTCCCTCACCCTTCCTTCAATCCCATGCGCAAGCATGCAAGTTGAATAGGCATATGGCGCGGTCTCAATCATCCGATGTATATGCTCCTTGGCTAGCAGAGCCCCTGGGTAGCAAAACACAGGAACAACTCGCTTCGTGGACGCTGGGAGGGACTATAGCATTACGCTAACAACGGACCGTGCTGTGTGAACTCTTCTATTTTAGCTTTATTCTGGAGAGCCAACACTTGGGATTCTTGAATGTGCCATGGATTGCCAACTCTGAAATCGACATATTCGGGAAATGCTTCAGAACGCTTGTACTCCTGTCGCCCTGTTGTCCCATAACACCGCCATCTGTGTTCTGGTGACTGGCTTCGAGTATGTTTTCCAACGCGAAGACTCGAGATGGCCAGAACTCGGCCTTTTTTTGTGTATATATACTGGGCCTCGAGCAAGTACCATGATGGTATCTGGATGGAGAAGCATCTGCTACCAACCCGTACCAGCAAGCCTCGTTCCGGGGTCCCTGGGCAGAAATGATGAAGCACCAAACGGAACAACCTCCTTGTTGTCGGATGGTTCGCATTCACGACATTGCCTTGGCGGTTAGAACATGGCTATACCTGTGAGGATGCTGGTCGCGATCCTCGTTCAAGCTGTGTTTGTCAACAAAACCTAGTCTCGCTGGTTCCCCCAAATGCACATCGAAAGGGCTTCACCAGCCTATGATGAGCGCGACATCATCAAGACTACGGCCAAGGAGGTTGTTTCCCAGCTTCCCTCTGGGACCTGCATCATCGATCTGGGTGCTGGCGACTCGTTCAAGTTTGCGCCCTACGTCCATGGGTTTCTCGGCCAGGGGAAAACGTGCACCTACGTGCCTCTTGGCTTTTCCGCGGCTCCCTCTCGACCCGGAGGACGCTTTCGTGAGTAAGAAGCATCCGGCGATGCTCTGAGAGCTTTGGGGAAATTGCCCGTGTCGCTCTTTTCACTATTAGCCTGACATGACCATTTTCTTTTCGTACCCTGTTGTCGATCGTGAGCTCAAGTACTCTGATCAGCATCCCGTCACCCAGCGATCACACGTGGCACCACCATATCATTTCTGTGTTTCCCAGAGCTCTCTCCCTCCGCGAGCTTTCGGCACAATGTGTTTCTATATATATCTACCGAGAAACTCTTTTCTACCCCATCTTGAAGACTGGTCATGTGCCGCCGAGCAGCTGGTGTGATGGCATGGTTGCCCCGGCTCTGGCGTGCGTGTCTAATCTGTTACTTCGACCACAACGATTCGGAGACAAGCCAGTCTAGGCCAAAGTGCGTCGCCATCGATACAGTTCACAACTATATATATCGCGCAGCGGGTACGCTGCAGCCGGGGCGGATGGCTGTGAGTCCGGTCCCATGCACCTAGTCTCGAGACAAAGATTTCTCGACCAAGTTCAACAGGAGAAACAAGAGGTTTGCAGTCAAACACGAGTCCATAACAGCTATGGCGTCTTGTGACCAACACCGACCTCCAGCAGAGTGATGGGATAAGGGATGAAGAAACAGTGCGAGGCGTTGGCCAAGGAAGATCCGACTCCTTGTGCAAAAGACCGGGCAGCTCGAGAGGGTGTGTTCTCGCCCTCTGGTATATAAATTCCATCTTCCCGCTTTCTAGGTCCGTCAAAGATCAGACAGAGATAAATAGAACACCAATGCGACATCCTTACCCCAGCTCCCACTACTACGACCACCGATGGCATCCGATGGACTGCCTGGGTGCACCACGCGACTTGGTCCATCCCCAGATGTCGGCGCCAACGAGAGGGTTAAGACATTACGACACAGAAGACGGCTGTGAAGCGAAAACCACTGGAAAAGATAAGGTCCAGTTGTCGAAAGCTTGCCCATCAAAGATGACGAACGAGGCGCCATTGATCACATCAAGGATTGCCTGATGACTGTTCGTCCAACCAACCAACGACGCTCAAAGAGGTGACTACCTTTATACATTCTGTCGATTTACAGACACGGAGCGCATGTGTCTCGTTCACCTCATTGACGGAACATCGCATCCCGTGCAGTCTCCCAGCATCACGTTGAACTAAGTGGCCTCACTAAATGCCCTGCGTTGATCTTCTGGCTGGCCATTGAAACCTTCATCCTAATCTTCACCATCTGATATACTAGAGTGGCCACTACGATGCAAAGAGTCCCGATTTGCCCCGACAGACGGATCGCGACAAGTGGTACAACAAAGCCAGCGCTCAAGTCACACCAATGAGTCGCAGCGAGGAACAAGAGCCCCAGGATGAACTCAGACTGGCCGGGGTCTTTGGCCCTTCTGCCTAAAGAGGAGCCACTTGGGTCAGAGAAGTCGGTCCAAGAAGATGTTAACGCCGACAACCCTCCTTGGTCTTTCTGGCGCTCTTATATAGTTGACGCCTGCGATGCTAAAAATAGCGACTCTGCACTGACAGAACCGAGGCCTGGAAGAATATTCCCACACAGCTGTAGTCCTCCCATGCGGGCATGTATTTGGACTTGTTTGCCTGCGTTTCTGGACAGAACTATCACTCCGCCTAGCCTATCGGCCGAATCTCAAAAACCACAGGGTCAATGAGATTTCCGCTTCATGACCTAGGGAGTTTGTTCTGGGCTCCCACTGTCTATGCTCTTGGCCGCGTTGATGCTATATCTACGGATTTCTATGAATTGGCGGGCATGCGCCGCCATTGCCCGCAACCAGCGACATTGCATGCGACGGCATTCGGCTCCTCTACGGGGACTTTCCGAGACACACCACAGACAGAAGAACCATGTATTTGTCCCGTTGTTGGTAATCGTGGCCTTGACATTGCGGCGTGGCTGCGGCTGGTGGTCGGGATGCGGAGGAATTGCGGACTTGTCAATCCCGACTCCGCTGGCGGGATTGAACAACCTCGGAAACATTTAGGTGCTTGGGTTTGTAAGTTTTGAGGATTCGACATTGAAATGGGTGACATTCCCGGGGTTTCAATTGATGGGGATTTGTAAGGATGAATTGCGAGATTGACAGTTGGGCGAGTATATATGATGTGTGATGATCGGTGTAGTGGTGTAAGTAGGAACAGCAGAATAAGAAACACCCTCAAAGCAAAGATCAGCAAATGATTCGCTGGAAAACATATTGAACTTGATTAAATCTCATCCATCTACTTATCATGGGCCTCTTCCAACCAAGGGTCGACCCCCTTCCTCCCGGCATCGACCTCTCCTCCAAAACCGCCATCGTCACGGGCGCAACATCAGGCATCGGCCTCGAACTTTCCCGGCAACTGCTGGTCTTGAAGATATCAACTCTCGTACTCGCAGTGCGAAATGTCTCCAAGGGAGAAGAAGTCCGAAAGGGTCTTCTTGCCGACACGGCTGTCAAGGCGGCCAACCCACGGGCTGTGGTCAAGGTCATGAAGCTTGACGCCGAGGACTACACCAGTGTTCAGGCCTTTGTGGAAGCTTTTAAGAAAGAGCATAACCGGCTTCATGTATTGATGCTCAACGCTGGAATCGGCACTTTCGGTCGCGAGTTTGCGCCTACAGGCCATGAAAAGAACAACCAGGTCAACTACCTGTCCAACGTCCTCCTGCAGCTCAGCCTCCTCCCTCTACTTGAGGCCACGGCTGAAAAAGAAGGATCGCCGACACGAGTCACATGGACAGGAAGTCGTATGCACAGGCTCACAACACTGGCTAGCAAGGCCCCTTTGAAGCCCGGAGAAGGTGTCATTGAGCACTTTGACAAGGGGAATGCTCCCGCCTTGGCGGGCTACCCAGACAGCAAGGCCCTCATCGCTCTCTTCCAGCTCGAGTTGGCACGGCGTTACAGCCCAGAAAAGGTCATCGTCAATAGCTTCTGTCCGGGAATGGTAGTGACAAATCTGTCAAATGTAGCGCCTGTGTACGTGCGCATCCCCGTTGACATGATCAAGGCTCTTCGGGGGCGGTCGGTGGAGCAGGGAGCCTGGATAGGGCTTCATGCGGCACTTGTCGCAGGAAAGGAGACGCATGGGATGCCATTGGATGATAAAGAGATTGTTGACCTTGGCGCATTTTTGAAGTCGGAGGAGGGTGAGAGGGTGAGGAAGTTGCTTTGGGATGAGACTGTGGAGGAGATGAGAGGGTTGATGGATGTGCCATCGTGGATGGAAGTCAAGGCATGAGATAAGGCTGCGACTCTTGTGTTTACACTTTTTCGTTTGTATCATCAAAGAGAAAGAGATACTGATTCACGCAATGCCAACGCAACGCTTTGTTTTGATGATGCAAGTCACCGAAACAGTGACAAAGACATGCAGTGCAGCACAATTGATGCCTGATTTCAACTCTCACTCAAATCAGGCCGTCGTAGTACACAGCCAGTGCAACACGCATCTCCAACGTTTCATCTCCACCTCAACCAACAAGGTTGCGCTTCATCACGATGAACGGCGCGAGTGAGAGAAGCGTCAGCTGCGCGGGCTGCAATCGCAAGTTCCAGAGCGATGCGGCTCTTCAGCAGCATGTTCGCGACAGAAAGGATGCTGCTCACGATAAGATTCCGGCTGATGGTGGTGATAAGACGACCAAGGTGGTTGGAGCCAACAGTATCGCACCAACACCAAAGGTGATCACACAAACTCTAACTGTTGGACTGCGGCTAATGTGAGTCAGGCTACAAACACCCAGAGCTCGCCAGTGAAGGCGAAAAAGCCCAAAGATAGATGGCTCCTTCATAGCACTAGCACACCTCTGCTCTCCATTCAAAGCTCCCAGGTTCAACCTAGCGATGTCGCTGTGACTAGTGATGGCGGATACGAGCTTCTCTGCAGTTACAATTGGGTCATCAAACCACAACCAACCGTCTACGTCCCAGGTGAATAATTCTGATCCGGTTGGAAGATATCCTAGCTGACATTCACAGGCGAGCCTCCGAGACTTGTCTCCAGATCCCTCCCGATGCGCGTCTCCCCAGACTCAGGCGTCCATTTCATCGACCAAAACAGCTTCCGCGTCCCCAAGTATCCCTTCGAAGTCGTCTTTCAAGCTATGAATGTCATGAACCCTGCGTTCAAGTTCAGCTACGTCGATGTCCTCACCAACCGTAACAGTCTTCGTCACCTACTCGACTTTTGTCGTGGGAAATGCAGAGACAGCTTCCGCATCGACCTGTATCTCATCCAAAACACGCTCGTCATTGAGAGACGTGAAAGATCGACAAAGGAGATGATCAGAGGATCCGGGAACTCGGGTTTTGGCCACAGCTTTGAGGAAGCTATCACTGAGCCGCCACCGGGCATGACTGATATTGCAGGGCATCACCGTGTCCTGCGATATGACCTTGGAGGCTTGAGCTGCGCCGTCCGCTTCGAAGTTGATGCTGTCCATGTCATGCCGGAAGTTGAGAACGGTGTTCAGCAGACTGACGCACCTCCTGGAGGCTCAGTAGATCAGCTTGCCCAGTCACTAGAGAATGTTGCCGTCGGAAGCTCGAAGAAGACTCCCTCATCCCCTGGCTCTAGAAGCGTCCGGGTAATCACCCGCGGTACAGCACCTCCTCAAGCACAAGCAGCAGAGATCAAGTCCATCCGACGCAACGGGAAGCACATAAGCACGATGCTTCCACAGCTCTGGTTCGGCCGGACTCCATACCTCGTTCGGGGCTATCACGACGATGGCAACTTCACCATGATTCGCAACGAAAACGTCGAGGAAAACCTCAAAGACTGGGAGGTTAAGGACCAGAACCAGATGGCTTTGCGCGGCGTGGTATCACTACTAGCACAGCTGCGAGAGGTCGTGAGGAACTCCGAGACGAAGTCGTGCATTGCTGTGTGTTTGAGTGAGAAGCCCTTGAAGCTGCGGGTATTTTCTACGGCGCAGAAGAAGTTGCCACTACCGGAGAAAGTGATTGAGAGATTCTGGGAGAATGATTGAGATGGGATAGCCTCTTGGCTGATGGTAGTGCCGCATGAGGGACTGTATCCCAGTATTGGCGATGGTTCCTTTCAAGAGGAAAAGTAATCGCACTCACGAATTTAAGATGATTATCAGCTCGCATGGTTACAGGAGCTGCGATAACGAATTCACGATGTTCATGTAGTGGTTTTAGAGTAGCAATGAATGCCAGTTTTCAAGATATGGCTAACAAAAGCGCTACTATAATGGCCACAAAGACTAGCAAGAGCTTCAGAACATGAAATCAATAATTCAAAGAGCATTTGACATGTAGACTATTCGCCGAAATTTCAACTGCGGCTGGTGACTATTTCCGTCAGAGCTATTCTCCCCAGCCCATCCTCACAGTATTGCGCCCTGCGCATCATTTAGTCCTCATATCAGGAACCGGCTCATTCCTCTTGGGGCAAGCTGGGCAAAAGAGATCAGCCGAGGTGCGTTCCATTGGGGTGATCTTGCCGCAGTCCCCCATCCTGCCCTTCTTCTTCATGGCCGCGGGACAGATCTCCTGAGACCACGAGTTGTTGTAGAGCTTCTTGCACCAGGCGCAGGTGGCCCGAGTGAAGATGCGCTTGCACATGGCGGGAGCTTTTCTGGTCTTTCCTTTGTGTTGATTTCTTCCCAGGACGGAGAACTGTCGAGTTGAGTGTTGCGTTGAGATGAACTGGTAGGTAGACTTGGAGGAAAGGGATGAGAAGTAAAGTCGGTTAGAGTTCTAACTACTTATAGTTGTTTGGTAGTACTGAATCAACAGGAATTATACATAGGTGTGTAAGACGAGAGACTGAATGAGGCTGCAGTATGGGGAACACAACGTCGAGTTGGGATGGCCAGTGACTAGGAGAACAAGTATATCACGAGGAAATATCACTTATAAACACATTCACCATATCAAAGCTTCATTCATCGCACCCTCATGATCTACCTTTCTTTCTCACGCGTCTTGGTTTCACTGCATTTCCATGTTACCGCTAATGGGTTTGATCCAATACGATGCTCTTTGTCTGAAAGACATTGAACATCAACACTGGCGTGCGGTAGCTGAAGCTGTGATCTTTTGTATCCGTAGCGCCTTTCTCAACTATATTTCTCTTTGTTTGCCCAGGTAACGGTGAGTCAAGCCAACATTCAGAGCAGTCAATTTTCAGAAACCGAGTACCGGCAACCCCACAGTCATAGAGTGTGTCCGGGATGTGTCATGTCTGTTGTTTGTTGATGGCGGAACTCCTTTACGTGCCAGAGCTGCTGTCTCTAGTTGGCGATATTCATAAAGCCCTTGACGCTATTACTACGTTGAAACTATCTTCCTTATGCTTATAACTAGCTAGGTAGTTATAGAGTTGACAGTCATCTTCTCAAGAATATTAAGTAGAATGACAAACGGTCAGAGATGATCAGGCCAACACACTAACGATGCACACTGAGCAAACAAGGTGAAAAGTCCAACTCATAATAACCAATGGCAGCGATCAACCGACGACGAGACGATGCAAGTGTGACATGTACTATGAATTTTATTGAAAGGCATTGGGCATAATGGCTTGATTGTGTATAACTGTATTTATTTGACTGGGTTGCCTTGATCTACCTTCTGGGTATGCTATGAGGTTAAATTAATTTTCAAGTACTATGAATTTTGTTCAAGGTGCTGCAGACCCCCAATCCCTACTTGATTCTTTCACCTTCAAAGGCAGACCAATAATGACATTGCCGGCGGCATGAAAAGCTACTGATGGTGTCGTTGAACTTGCCGTTGCCGTCCTTTGGTTCAGCGTCCTCTTGGTTGTCATTCTAATCGCCGTTGCAGCCACAATACCTGTCAAAGTCAATAACCCAGTTCAGAAGAAGACCGTTTTGAAGCGGAGTTAAGCTTACGGATACGAAGCTCACCTGTAAGTGCCCTTGACGTTATTCCGGATCCATCCAGATCGGATGACTTGGCTCAAGCTTGAGAGCCAAGACGCGGGGCGACGCTAACTACAAGCTCCCGCAAGGCTGAATTTCCAAGATCGTTTGCCAAGTCCCCAATCGGAATAGCTTCCCCCTAAAACTCCGACGCCTGTCTCGTGTAGCGCATGGGCGCAGAGCTAACTATCGACGACAATGCGGCTGCGAGGATCCTTTTGTATGTGCCTCGCTTTAACCAACATGCCATGGATGGAATGGGGGCTTTCATCACACACACGCCAAGAGATGAGTATAAACATGTTAGCCGATCCCCCTCTTAATATAGTTGATAGGGTAAAATAAAAATCGATGAAAGTGCTGTCAGACATCACTTCTTATTATAATATATTTTGAATATAATTCTATTTATTCTTTTGTAAATTGATTTATTATCCTGAAGCCGTGTTCGTGAATATTTTGAGGAGTTCTGGTGGTTTCGTTTATTCCTTAACCGCCGTGCCACACCCATGTCAACACATGCCATGAGGGCCTCTTTTCTCCTCAGGGGACAGCTTGCCCAATCAGTAGTCTGTCGCTTGCCAAGATAATTCTCGGGTACGGGCACAGAAAAGGGGTGTCATGTGTCCTCAAGAAACTCCTTAGCTGACCAGTAAACAGAAAGTGCAATAAAGCCACTAGTGATCACTATCTCCTAGAATCAGGCTGTGGGATCAGGATTCCCAAGTACTTTGGCTTGTCTCCCCCTTTATCGCTGTACCTTTGGACGACAGCTTTTCGTAAAGCGCTTATAAAATATGCAGTTAGCACCATGCTACGAAAAGGCGACCAGTGAATAAAAACATTGATTCTAGATATTCCCTAGAGCCTTAAAATAATATTGTAAATACTCTCCATGTGGCATTCAGGCTCCCCGATAGTTCGGGCCCCGGGATTGTTGCCTTACGCCTTATGCATCATGCACCTCGACGTTTTGAGGCCACCCATGACGCCACTGTCTCACATTCTATAACATTATTGGATCATGGGCCCAAGTCGTATCATAGGGGGAGCCTCAACTCATTCTTGAGCCCCCTTTAGATTCCCAACTTGCGATCACCCCTTGACATCAGGCTGCGAAGAGATACGGTGAAGTGAGCATTTCAAAAGCGTAGAGTGTTAGCGGTTGGGGCCTACTTCTAGAAGAACCAATGGCTTAGATTGCTCTGTCAATGGACTATTCGAAAACTACACCTCTAACTAGTCTGCTCTGATTTTGGGGACAACTGTGGTCAACGCCTGTCGAAAAGAGGAACTGCTAAAATACATATCAAAACCTTAGAACGAATGTAGATATTTCATCGTTCGTTGTTCCCCGGAAACAAACTTCACGGCCCTCTTCCTAAGGGCTAAACTCTTCATCGTCCGTGGGTGGTGTGTTGATGGGTGTCGTGTGTTCATCCTGGCCGTTTTCCATATCTCCCTCCTCGCCTAACCGCCATGCTGCAAGCATCTGGGAGAGCTCGTCAATTACCCAGCTCCTCCCGATGCTTTCCTTTGCTGAATGCCAAATCTTTCTCGCCTCGCATGATTCAGGAGAATAAGCGTACCGTAGGAACTCGAGTCCAACAGTCTCTTCAAAAACGGCTTGGAGTTCCTTGGCCTCATCGTTCTCGGGCTTCTCCTCGGCAAACTCCCAGATTGCTTCCTCGTTGATGTAGTCCTCTATGTCATCTGACCAGTATGCCTCGAGCCATAGCCAGGCTGGAGGTGCGAATGCCACAATGGCTGGTGCATAGTGGGCTTCATCCCAGTCCAAAATTCCTGTTACGGTGGCAGTCTGGTCATCGGGCGTATCAACCATAATGTTGCGGGGGAAAAGGTCTCCATGGTGGAAATGATATGTTGGTGTATCTGGTCCAAATGTTTTGTGTAGTGTCTGCATTGACTTGACCATTTCAATAAGGCCTAGCCAAGGCCCTTCTCCAAATCCTGGTCCCGAATACTTCTCGTGCCAGCGTAGGAGGCGCTCGCAGAGCATGTTGACAGGATGCTGGGGCTTAATTGGTCTCTTTGAATCTTCATGATCCTCCACAAACTTGAAGTCCTTGGTGGGGATGGCATGGGGGCAACTGTTGCTCTCTTTGAAATCTGGCAAACCGCCTGAAGAATTGGTGGCCTTCTGAACGTCGAGAAAGAAATTAGCCACATCCTTGGTGACTTGAAGTCGCTGTTGGTGGTTCAATTTGTTCCAAATATCATCTAGACGTTGTCCAGGGAGTCTCTGTTGCAGGATATACGGCTGGCCGATAGGATTTGCAGCCGAGGAGTCTTCTTCTATGGCCACTACATGGGGAATGCCGACAGCCGTGTAGGTGCTCGCAAGATCAAGGATACACTTGTCATAGTCCAGATGTGCTGAGTGGAAACGTGGGACTCGAAGCACGTAGTCTCCTGGTCCTAGAGAGCCTTTGAACAGTAGAGAATTTTCCTCGGAAGGGGCACTGCCCCCCTTTTCTGCATCCTTGATGTCGGAGGGTGGAGGAGGCTCTGGAGCGACTGCAGGCTCCTCTAAAGTGGCTGCTGGCTTTTCTGGGACGTGGATGGCAATGACTCGATTGCTAAAACCGCCCTTCATTCGCTCAATGCGAATGTCGTCCAAGTTGTAAGATGGCCAGAGAAGCCCGCATAGTTGTCGAACTTTGTCCCGGAAAGTCTGGAACGGTTCGTGCTCTTCGTATTCGGCCGAGGAAGTCGGAGTCGCGCTCCGAACGCTCTCGGACATGCTTCGAGGAAGGGTACCGTATTACCCCCTCTGCTCGACGTGGGAAGGGAGTTTCCAGAGATGTTCAGGTGCTCTGTTTTGTTTAGAAGAGAATCAGGCTGTGCTTTGCCAGCACCCCCTTGACGAAAGCTTAGTCATTTATCAGGTGCTTTTTGTCTCAGAAGGCTCGGCGAAAAGGGAGGATTATACTGTGCCTTGGTATGAGCTCGCGATGCCGTCAAGCCGATACATTCGGCTCCATTTTGGATATAAAAGTTAGTGTCGGACCTCAGTAATACTGTACTTCTGTCTTTCTCTGGGGGACTCATATCTATCAGGTGGTCAGCATCGCTGCCCGACCGGCATCTTCGTCCTGTCGGCTGTGTGTAACAAACAACGCGAGCTGGCCTTTTATACGTTCCATTCTCACCGGACTACAAGGATTCCTCACACCATTCGCGCCTCGGAGTAACGCATGACACGGTATGCGTGGCATCGCCCACTCAGAGACCGATGGCTCTCGCACGACATGGTCAGCTGGAGCTCCAACAAAATTACTTGCATGCCAGCCTGCTTATGCACAGTTCTCTTTACTAGATTATCAATGGATAAGAGTCTGAATGTGCAAAGAGGGCCTCATCGCCTTATGTGGCATCCCATGGGGATAATGTGCAATTCGCATTGCCTCGTAGAATCACACCTTGGGCTCGGCTGATAAATACCTACGCCTGCTCGCCCCCTCATTTCCTTCATTCAATGCCAAATTCTAGCCTCTCGACCTCGATTCCTATCACTAGGAGTCACCCCAACTATGCCCCGTATCACAAAGTCTCGCACAAATTCTCACCATTGCCCTGGCGCAAAGCTCGACGGCAAATGTCGATGGAGCAAGTCATCGCCACGATATTGCAAGAACCACCAGGAAATTTGCAAAACTCACAAGTGGGTTTACCTCGTGGGGGAGAAATGCCCCTGTTGCCCCAGCATACTATCATGTGCACGCCACCCCAACGTTCGATACTACGAAAACCAGTCGTGCCCTTCCTGTCAAGCCGAACAAGCAGCGGCAGCAGAAGCAGCAGCAGCTGCAGCCGCCGCCGCCGTCGATCCAAATACATGCCCTTACAGACAGGGGGGGCAATGTCGGTGGAAGAAAAAGCTCCAATACTGCACAAACCATCAGGGCAAGTGCTCGACGCACTACGAGATCTACGACAAGAACTACGGATGCCAGAGTTGCCAGTATGGCGGTTAACATCCATGTCCATGACAAGACGGCCTAGGACACGGCGTTGTGAGGGTGGAATGTAGGCGTTATGCAAGAATGAACTCGACTATGACTGTCTTTACTTCATTTTGTGGAATTCCTTGATTGTGTTTAGGCGAACTATTTTCTTTTGGCGCAGTTCTCATCAGTTGGCACGCGGGAGGTATGAGTTTGTTCCCAAATGGATGATTTTCTAGTAGGGCCGAAGTTAACCATTGAAGACTTGAAGTAAAGCAAGAAATCAGAATGTCAAACTCCTGCTTTATGGTTGATAAGGGTCCAAAATTCCCGCAAGCATGTGCCCCTCAGAGTTCCCGACCAAGACCGAGAGGCATGAATGTGCACCAGTCTGATCGGTTGCCGGACCTCCTATTCCTTTTTAACCGAGGGCTCAGCTTCTCTGTCCACTGTCCAGCCTGATGCAGACTGTGGGTATAAACGAGAACCTTCCTCCATGTCATACCTGTGTCCATGAAATACCATCAAGTACATGCCTCCTCAGCTTCAGATATGGGTAGATTGAGCCCAAATTCACGAGCCTCCGAGGTTGAATGCTCATCACCTCTACACTCAGCTCATAGTGTCCGCCGTCTGGTGCAACAAGTACCTCTTGCCACGCCCGTTTAACCTGGCTCGACATTTCCAAGTCCCACGTGCCCTGCCACACGATTTTTCCAGCCCGGTCCAGCTTCTCGTAACGGAAAATACCAGCCTTTCTATTTCTGGCTTCGCAGTTCCAGATTTCAAGAATCCCAAGCTTGGGCATATGCTTTGCGGCCTCTCCCACTTTCACGAGCAGCTCGTTTACCACGTCGCTTGAACGTGTTAAAACAAGATTTGACGTTAGTGCAAGTGTTGCTAAAGATGCCCAATTATGAGAAACATGAGGTGAAAAAAACTCTTGTGCATCAAAGGCGAAGGAGATGGAGAGGTGTTTGAGTTGATTGCTCCATTTGTTTTCTATCAGGGACCTGAGAAGTCGCTTGTTCGATCGTGGGAGTCTCATTCTTCCTTGGCGGTGGTACGTGGTACTGCATTCGTCGTAGAAGCTGAATTGCTTCAGGGAAGATGGTAAATGAAGCCCAATCAGCGACGAACCTATCCCATGTGTTAGTATTCTTGATCATGTCGTATGCTGGGGAATTGATGTAACTAACCCCTGTCCCACTCCTTATCGCTCAGCATCCAATTATAGCACCATCTCTCAAGATGAATGACCTCAAGGCAGGGGGCGGCGTTGAAGATGTCGGCAAAGGCTTTTGGGCTGATGTTCCGAAAATACTGTCGACGAACAAGAAGACGGGTGATGACTGGCGCGCTGGGAAGAGAATGATGCTCGCCGAACTGGAACTGGAGGGCCCGTGAGCCTAGATAGCTCCGCTTCTGCCATTTCCACAAATCCATGAAGCCCGGATCCCAGGGAGGGTCTTCAAAGCGACTCGCGTGATCTATACGCGGATTTCCTAGAATACATTCAGGCAACTGACGATCCGGCAGATCCAAGTTATGCATTCTTGTTTCAAACGACGAAAAGATGCCGAGTTCGACTGTGAGGCTGTAGTTTTGCCAGGTAGCAAGGAATTTCCAGAGATGTGAAACTCCTAGCGTGAAGATGTAGTTATTGAAGTGGGAACAAGGCTCATGATCATATTCCCCAACTGGTATCTCCAATAGAACGTGCTTGACGTAGCCTCTACGGCTTGAAGCAGGGCCAACGAGGCGTTCAAATCTTGAAATGCAGGCTGGGCGCAGGGAGATGCGGCGAAATGTTGACTTTTCTACAATTCGTTGCCAAGATTTGCAGACACAAGCGAAGTTCGAGGGACGGGCCAGTCTGTCCTTTGACGTGTTGTGCGGTGTCATGAGCCATTCTAGGATGTAGAGCTGGATTTCTGGTGGGAATACGTTCTTCTTTGAAGGCCTGCGGGCCATAGATCGGGTCACACAAGGCATTTTCGGGTCGAGGTTGGATTGTTGGAAATGGGGAAACGAGGTTCAATCGAGTACATTATATAAGTAAGTATGGATATAGCATCAAAGTAAACTTTTGAGTCATGGCTTTTCTTAGGCTGCCATATTTTAGAAAAGTTTCTTTCTCAACAAAAGTATATCTAATACTTGCAGTGAAATGCATCCGAGTTAGGCCATTGCATTTGCATTGCACCACATGTATGAGGACACGGAAGTCTCTGTTGAACCTAACAAGTCTTACTTGCTGATAGAGATAGAGTCATTAAGGGATTAACTATGGTACTTTACCAGATCAAAGCCAGTTAGCGACAATAAGTCCTATTAGAAAGGACGTTGCATGCCTACTCTGCACTGCACAAATGACTTCACCTGGAGTTATATAATGCCCATAGTTACTCTTCACATAACTCTTCTAGTAGAGTTTCGTACTGCTTCTCTGACCAAATCCTTCAATCATGATTGGTTGAGAAAGCGGATGATGCAACATGGTGACCAAGTCGCTGCATATAACCCGATTTAGATGTCAAGGCCTCTTATTTCCTTGCTTGCTCGAGGACCAGTATTGGGTACTGAGGAGGGAAGTAGACTAATTATGATGAGTTCTTCCTATACTCACTAGAACTAAGATAAAAGATTAACTCACTCTTGTATTATTTTTATAGATTCTTGGATAATACCTTAATAATGGGGATAAAGATGTTCATAAGTCCCCGCCCAAGCAAGGAGATACAGCGCTAAAACATATCCACCAAGGCTGTGCATAGATGGACAGACGTGTTGGTATATCGGACTGACGATCCGTCTTCACATGGCACGGGAACTTTTGGAGTAAGCTTACTGTGATGCCGATCTTGCAACCTGTTTCATCCTTCGTGTCGCTTTAAATATGGCGGAGCAGAGACACTGGTGACGGGTTATGTCATGGTGCATCTAGAGTAAACACTATACCAACCTACTATGTAGATGCTTGAAATCATAGTTCTCTTTCAAGAATGAGCGGGGATGAAAAGACGACATCAGTCGCGCTACACCGCAACTGTAACTGCGAACTTGGCAAATTATTTGACTAAAAGCGGAAAAGAGGCGGTAAATTCAGATCCAACACGACAGTTTCGCTCTGTCAACGTTACAACGGATCGGCAGTATGCCAATACCAGTTCTCTCTGGGCGAGTAGGCGAGATCCGCTCACCTCGGGACATCGATCACGGCAGTGAAACTTACATCCTGTCCTCTGCCCTATTCGCACAAGATTGACTATGCCAAGTCTGACATCTTCATCGATCGCTCCGACCAGGCGACACAGTTGGCAGACATGATGCACTGCCTTTGATATTCCTGTATGATGTTGTAAGAGATACACGGAGAAAGCTTCACAGCATCTTGATCCATTCAGTATTCATGATCCAAGACAAAATACGCAATTGCTTACGGTCTTTCAGAAGAGCGTCATGTCAAGAAGTGAAGAGTTGTCAGGTATAAATTGGATGGCTATTCCATCGAGTTCAGGACTTTATCAAACACGAACGACCTCAGCATTACAACACACAGTACAACATCTTTACAGAATCAACTCCTCTTTTCCAATCACCATCATGAAGTCCTACATCGTCACCCTTGCCTTCCTCGCCAGCCTCACCCTCGCAAACCCCATCACCCAAGCCCCAGCAATGATGCCTAGAGCCGAGAACTCTGAAGGAGAGCAAGTTCAAAAGAGAGACTGCAACAGTAGAGTCGGGGATGATTGTGGAGGAAAGTATGGAGGCTGCTGCGCTGGCCTAACCTGCTACGTGAGTCTCCAACTTCTCAATATCTTGTATCAGAAGCTGATTATTCTAGGTCACCTCTCTTCCTCTGTATGGAAAATGCAAGAAGAACTAAACCAAGTGTGGACTCGATGATACACGACGCGCGTCTAAGACGACCAAGATGGCAGGGATATGACAGGGATGGAAAGGCAACACTCACTTGCTGAAACGATGCATACATTTTAGGGATATCTATATCAACATAGCCACACTCTCTAAGATAAAAAAGTGCGCACTTAACGTCAAAGCTTCCTACCTTACGACGTCTCGTGTTTTTAGTAAAAAGATTACACAAAACCAACACTTCTTGATAACCTCACCCTTTATCATTCTGACTAAGATTATTATAACCAGGTGGGTCATTAATGTGAGACCTAGTTGAAGACGGCACTGCCTCGGCATGTCTGAGAGATCAACACTTGGTGTGTGGGGGACTCATCCCCTATTGTGACATCATTGAGGAGCATCAAATCTCCAGGTATCATCTTATTGCTCTAGTATCTTTCTCCTTGTCATGAAGCAATGCCACGCTATGAATAAAACTCCCAAAAGACACAAGAAAAAAATGTACATGCACTCTATATTGTGCCTCTTCCATCTCTAAACACCTCGTCGTACCAGGGAGCCTCAGCCTCGGCCGTGGCATTGCTGTTGCTGCACACCGTGTCCCAGTCGGTCGCCCGCAGCTCCCAGCTCTTGGTCTCCTTGTTCTTGCCGAATAACAGCGACGTCTTGAACTCGCCCTCGCCGCGGTACGGCTTGATCTCGAGGCTGCCGTTTCTCGCGTCGAGGGTAGTCAATGATGTTGTGCTATTGGGCTGCATCTGCACCTCGAGAAGATTTCGTAGGTAGGGAAAGAACCATGTCTTGTCCCACCAGCTCGACCTGCGACTCTTCAGACCATTTCTCCAAGCATTGTGATGTATCGCCACGGGGATCGCCGTCGTCCAAAAGTCGACATACAGAGGAATCTCACCCCATGTGAGGTCCTTGTCTGATGCTTCGACCAGCTTGGAGAGCGGATTGTCGGCCTTGTATATATCGGCGGGGACGCCCCGTATCCGTGGTGGTGAGACACCAGCCTCGCCTGACTGCTTCTCCAACGCGGCGGGGTTGTCAACGGAGACAAAGTAGCCGCCGTCCTCTGAGTAGCAGGTCGGATAGAAGAGCTCTTGTGTGTAATCGAGGCCGAGGTGGTATTCGAATTCGTCGCGTGACCACTCGGCAGTGGCCCTGCCCGCATTGTCATCGGCGAAATCGTCGAGGTGGACATGTCGGCGCCACAATTCCTGCTCTCCAAACACCTCTGCGAAAATGCCCTGATCGCCCGCGAGGTCCTCATTGGAGTCGATCTCGAGAAGGTCTCTGTCCATCCTGTCCTTGACGCGCTTAAAGTACCGACGCATGTCGCCCGCGGGGCCCATGAAGCTGCCGCTGTTGACATACTTGGGGCGCATAAACTTCCACCGACCAATTTTGTAGTCGGTCAAGAAGCCAAAGACGTCGCGTGGGAGGGTGCTCTCGGGCACATCGTGGCAGTAGAGGTTGGAGATCTTGTCGCGCGGGGCAACACAGCCCTTCTGAGCAGAAATGACAATGGTCTGCTCCATTAACCCTTCTTCAAAGCCATATTCTTCGAAAATTCGCTTGTTCGCCCGTTGGTTGCTGCTAAAGTATCGGTGGAGGAGGATGCTGGGGGGCAGCTGCATCCAGATATCGTGGGCATCTAGCATGAGCACCAGATCGTCTTCACCAAGCTTGTCCTGGTCGGGCGCATCTGGGCCCGTCGCCCACTCCAGGTAGTTGAGGGTACCAGTGATCTTTCCCAGCTGCGACGGGCCAATTCCCTCAGCGTCGGTGTGAAAGTCTTTCTTCCAGTTGACGATTACGGGCGCTGGGTACCCCAAGGCGACGATGCTGCTGATGACTTTGCAGAGGTCATGGCTGGGTCCATCGACGGGGAGGACAATGACGAAATTTCGGTGCCCGGCAGATATTGAAGTCGGTGATAGGGAGGAATCGAAGTGTATCGGTGATTGGGGATGCCAAACACTGTCATTAAGCATCTGTTCGCGTTGGTCAGCTATGACGACTGGATGCGGGCGGGAAGGGGGAGAGGATGCGGGTGCAGTATCACATACTAGGTAACATAAAGTTAAAGTGACAGATAGAAGAGTAAACAGAAGCAGACACCCCCTCCGAGCCAATCTCAGTTTTGAACCTCCATTGAAGCGGTAGAATCTATACCGAGGACGCAGCGTCACCGTCGCGCCTGGTAGGGCAATGTGTGAAGACATGTGTCATGGGGGGGAGACCAAGAGATGAGGCAGCAGAGGGAGGGAGGACTTTTTCGCATGACAAAGGGGAATGGAAAAGCGAATAACCAGATAAAGGGAGGGAGGGAAAGACAAGCAAAATGGTGGCGCCCGGGTAAGAGAACAATATAAAACAAGGCTTGCTTTGCTTGCTGTGCGTTTGTCTTGTGTGCTGCACAAACAAAGCAAAGCCCATCTCGAGGTCGATTGCACTTGATATTTGTACAATTTTTACTGTACTTTGCAGCACCAGGCTCTCGCACTCCATCCCTGAAGAAGAAAAAAACCTCGTCAAACACCAAAGCCAGGCACGCCCCGAGGCGCTTGACGTTTCTGCCTGTGTTGATCACCCTCTTGCGCCCCCAAGTTCCCATCCTTTCTACAAGGCCAAAGGGGCGTGTAGATAAAGCTCTTCCTTGTCCTAGTGGAGGTTTTTAGTCGCTAGCCCTGCTAATTCGAGACAGATCATCTCATGCTCGGGCCATCTGACTGGTTGCAAGTCACCTAGGGCTGTGGCCGTGGAGCCAACCTGGCCAACTGCCGGGGAGAAGAGCAAGCCCTGTTTCCCCCTGTCATTGTTGTACTCTTTCCCCTGGTTTGTCGCTGCCACGACGGTTGCGCCATGAAGGATCCAGCTAATTTGCACATGACCAAACGAGAATCGGTCAAACTGGGTGACAATCTCTTGTAGTGATGCGCGTTGATTGCCATGCGCTGCCCCAGCACTGCCAAAGCCTAGACTCCACAACAATGAAGGAACCGCCTCCGCTCTCCATGAAACATTCCTTACGAAAATGTTGCAGTCTGACGCCAGACAATGAACGATTGACCCATGGCTAAAAGTCTAAAAGCAGCGATTGGATCTGTTCCTTGTTCCTTTGGTACCACATGAGAAAAAAAAAAGCCTCCGACTCAGCCCCTGAACAAAAAAGAATGCCTTGCTGTCCTGCTTGTGAAACGACGCTCACGCAACTGTTGCCCATTTCAATTATGCAGACACAACCAACAGCCTCTCAGCACACGGCTGGACCAATGGTTGGGTGCATTTCTTCCCCCGGCTACCAACAGTGTGCAGTCGTCGTCTAGCTGAGCGTGCATATCACAGTGGAACCATATTTAGCCAAGGGGGCTGAATTCCTCCTGGCAATGCCATCCTAACCATAATACAAAAGGTTAACCCCGCTTGTACATGGCAGAGTTCGAGACTGGTCGATTGTTGACACGCGGCAAAGAAGGCTGCTGCAACAAGGCTCTGCTAAACTGTCGTCGTGTCAAGGAGACCCGAAGGATGACGAAAGATCGGCCGCTAACTTAGCCAAGCATTTCGCCAAGTCGGTTCGAGCTGACTACGTAAGCTCCACTTCGCCCTGTCAAAATTCCATGGTCGAATCCTTCCCAGGCCCCAGCGCGCGAGCCTCCTCCATGGCGTTTGCCATCAGGGAGGATAGAAGCATTTCGGACGAAGCCACGGACGAAGCCACGGCGCGTGGGGATACCAGCAAAAATCGGCTGGCATGGTGGATGCAAGTATTCTCGCCCCAGATATTTGGCATTTTCCGAACCAGGCTGATGATCCAACTTGTCTTTTCCAGCTCCGTTGACAATCGGAAGAGGCTTCTTCCTGGCTTGCTTCGCCGCAAACACGAGGATGACCACCTGATTGGGCCTCAACCACATCAAAAGAACCATCCATTATCGTCTTTAATCTCTTATTTCCGTCGTTAACGACATTTGACCGCAAGTTGTCAACCGCCGTGATCTCGAGTGGGACGCGCAATCTATCTAGGCACCGACTTAAAACAACCCTACAAACTCTACAACTACGGAGCATCCAACCAACAATCTACGGTATCACTAATCAAGATATAATAGCAGATTAAGCGAGTTGCCCAGACCCGCGTATTCAGTCGTTTTCGGTTCAACTGCATTGATTCTGTCCCGCTTCGCCCTCTTCATTTGTCTCTTTTTTGTCTCCTAAACGGCTGCCTACCTATCAACGCGCGTCCTCCAACATCACGAGAAACCTCATCCAGGGGGAATCATCTACATTCGAATCCGAATAAGGTTCTTGAAGTAGATGCCTAAAATCAAAGTCGCCGAAGTGTCGGCGGACGATGCCGAGGAAAAGAAATCCCTCGACTATCGAATCCTACCAGAGTGGATGGCATACTCCATAACGCCGACGGCAAAGTCTCCGTGCTTCTCCATGACGGGCCTCATCTTGTCCCTGACCCTGTCGCTAAGGATCCTGCTCCCGACGATTCGACACACAATCTCCCTCATGGCCGTGTCGGTCTGAGGCGTGCCGAGGTAGAGTTCGTCGACGACGTCCGGAAAGCATTCCGCGTGCTCCCACTCTAGCTCGACGGCCCGGTAGAATCTATCCCTCGCCAATAGACGGAGGGCTGGCACGTCGTATTTGTCCGCCATGATGTATAAGCGAAGGGGGAGTGTCATGTCGTTGCGGATCTTGACCAATCTCTGCATCGCCTCCTCTTTGTTTAGTGCCAACAGCTCACACAGCTGCATGACGGACATGGACTCGAGTCTTGGCTCTTCAGGGGAGTCTTCCGGTTCTTGCTCGCTATTGGAAGCGCTATCGCCATAATACTCGTTGTATTCCTCTTCTGGCTCCGAGTTGGAGTTTGACCTCGTCGATGTGGGACTGGGTGGTTCGTAATCCAAATCATTCTCGTCAGAGTCGTCTCCGGTAGGTCCAACTTGGTTAGAATTCCGCCGTCCAGGACAGGGAGTTGGCGGACAGTCACCCGCTAAGAAATCTTCAGGCACACCAGGCGTGTTGTTGAGGTTCTCCTGAACTTCTTCGGGGCTCATCATGGCGACGGTGGATGGCTTTCCCCACGTCTGGTTCACACCGTCAGAGTACGCCCCTGTGTACAGGAACTCAAGAAAGCGCTCAAGTACATCAGGGTCATCATCAGGGAGCTCAACAACACGAGAAGCAGCTTCCTGTAAAGGGATAGCCGTCAGCAGGGTCCCCGCCTCCGAGTGTGATTACCAACCTTGAAGTTGCTGCTCAAGGCCCGGTCAAAGAAGGTGGACTGGGTGCAGACGATGGCACGGTGGGCCTTGAACTCACGCCCACCGCAGCGAATCGTCATGTCGGAAAACTTTTCGCTGCGCAGCAGAGTCGACAGGGACGCGTGAATCGACGTGGAGCAGAACGCGTCTATCCCGTCGTCCTCTTCATCCCGATACTCGTTTCCGGTGGACGAGGGAGCCCCTGAGTGAGTCGGCATACTCGTGTTGGTTAGTTGCCAGGAGGGTCAGCTGCTCAAAGGATCCTTCGGGAAATGACAGCCTCGTTTTCAAACACTTGGCTTGGTAAGTCTTGTTGTTGTTTGGAGGTTGGGCCATTTGATTGGCGGGTGAACGCACGTTGGCGGTTGATGGAATATGCAGGTGTATTCACTTAAGCCATTTAACGCGGCATTGGATCGCCGGCGTTAGATGTCCGGTGTATTGATCTTGGGATTCATAAGAACTTGGGGGTTTCTGTTCTCTTTGCACAAAGTTGAGCACCTGCTCTGAGATATCTAAAGCCAGGGAAGTGGATCAATCAAAATCCCAATTTGCCAGTCGACGCCTAACGTCCCAGGTCTACCCCAAAATCACATCAGTCCTGCTTGGCTTCCGTCAGATAATCCACGACCCCCACTGCCAGCTCCCCGTTGAGCGTCATTTCCTCTCGCATCCTCTTCTTCAATACATCGTCCTCGGTCTTCATGCCGACGATCATGTGAAGTGCTTGTCGTAGCGGGTCTTGCTCTGAGGTCTTGTCATAGATCGTCTGCACGATCTCTGAGAAGAAGGCCGTCTCGTCCCATGATGCCGTGCGCCACAATTTTAAATTCAGCATCTCCTTTCCAGTTTGGAAGAATCGATCCCGAGCCAGCAGTCTCAGCGCCGGAACATCGTACTTGTCAGCTAACACGTAGACCCAAACCGACTGCTTCATTGCCCATCGTCTCTTCTGTTTCTTGCTCTTTTCGGCCGGCACTACCGAGCCCTTGAAGGCGTAAGGGCTCCATCGGAGTCCTCCTGCTGATTCTTGCTGTCTCGGCGTCCCCTTGGGTCCTCCGGGTCGAGACCCCCCCCCCGGATTACAGAGGTGTAGTCGCTGGAACCTGGTGCGCAGTTCAGTCTCTTGAGAGTCTGTTCGTTGGTCACCTCGACAGCTTCTAGCACTGTGTCCCGATCGAATCCGCCGACGCTGTAAGTGCCAGTGTAGAGGAACTCGAGAAAGCTCTGAACGGTGTTGGGGTCATCTTCCGGGAGATCAACGATTCCGGAGTCCCCCTCCTAGCATCATCAAATCAGCAAAGACGCATATCACCCATACCAAATAAAGGCACTAACCTTGAAGTTACTACCGAGAGCCTTTTTAAAGAAAGAACTCTGGGAGCACACGATGGCGCGGTGGGTCTTGAACTCGCGGCCCTGACACCGGATGGTCATATCGGAGTAATCTCCACTGGAAAGGAGACTGTCCAGCGATGCGCAATTCGAGGTAGCGCAAAGGCTGTCTGTGGGCAATTTTTCGGTCTCCCAGGTCGGTGGTGCCATGTTGATTCCTTTGACGCGTTTGTGATTATTGAGAAGGAAGAAGAGAAAACGAAGCAGGTGTGACGACGGATGAGTGACCTAGGGCAAGACGGTTAGTACCTGGGGCAGCGTGAATGGCATCCTTCTGCCACCTCGACGGGAGGGAATTCCCCCCGAATCTTTGCGCCTGATAAATCTCCCCGGAGGTATCATTAATGCCAACAGACAGTACTAAAATCCAAATAGCATCGTCAAGCCAGGCGTACACAGGCCAAAATCCATCACAGAATCCCTGCCACCCTATACCATGCAGGGGTCATTTCTCGGATCTCGTATAGCCCTGCCTGATAAGCGAGCAACTCGGCAGTGGAGCCTCATATCGCTACAATAGCCTGTCGACCATACGTCTTGACTCCCTCCTGTGCCAAATCCTCGTCATCAACAGCATCCAACAGCCAGCTCTCAGGAAAGAAAGTCTTGAACTTTTCAAGCGTGCGCTCAAGCCCCCTCAAAACATGATCCTCAATTTCCTTGTGCCAGTACCACGTCACCGAAGCACCCGCAGCTGCCACCGCGATAGACACGAAGCACGGCGCCAGCACGGTCGGCTCTGGCCACCGGGTGATGATGAAATACAACGCAGTCCCTATTGCGCCGGCCCAGATGCCAAAATAGACGAAGAAGAGGTAGAGAAGGGACAGGCCGACCACAGTAAAGACAAATACAACGACTGTGAAGAAGAGGATGAGAAAACGCGCGATGGCGCGGTTTCCCACCGAGTTGAGCCGACGCGACGCGGAGCGGGATGATGTGAAGCGGTTCAGCATCGTCACCCGAGCCGACATGGCGTAGACCCGTATTGATGGGGATCGTAGCATAGTGCGTATTAGGTACGTCACGATAAAGACCAAGCTGAGAGACAGTCCCCATGTCCATATCTTGGGTGGTGTGTCGGTAAGTTCGGCGACCTGCATGGAGAACACAGACGTGATGAAGGATAGTGGGACGAAGAAGAAGGCGAGCTCGGTTAGCTTGTTGATGCCAGAGGTTTGATCAATGACAAGCGTTGATTGGGCGAGGCCTGTCGACGCGACGAGGAGATTGAGTGTCTGCTCAGAGCGCGACTGGAGAGATTGCAGATCCGCCATGAGCTCGCCCAACTCTTCGATCAACTCAGGCGAATCGGAGACGAGACTGGTGGCCTTGTTGTGTGTTATCCATTCTCTCAGCTCTTGAAGCGTTGAACGAACCCAGCCCACGTTCTGCCTTGTCATGAGCCCAGCCGACTCGAGAAGATGCATGTGTAGGTCAGCACCAAGATCGGCGTCAATGTGGTCGAGCATTAGGCGGAACTCGGCGAGTAACTGCCAGAGATCATCCAAGGCGAGTCGCGTAAGCACGGATGGAATGAGTGAATCGCCATGACAGAGCTCGCTGGCTGGGACCTTGCTGATGTAGCGGTAGACTAGGTCCAAGGTAGACAAAGAGTACTTCCGTGCAAAGTCGCGATCACGGACACAAGGCTGCGGAGCCTTGTAGTCATCTCGCAGAGTCTGTTCGTACTCCTCGTCGTATTCCGTGTCACTGTTATACGACGAGTCGGTCTCGTATGTCTTCTCATCCCCATGGGCCAGCTTCTCCTGCAGTTTGTCCTTCTTGTCCTTGAGTCGCTGCTTTCTGGCCTCTTTCTTCTCCGCTTTGATCTGCTTCTTGGATCGCGCCGGCGGCGGGGGATCGAGGTACGTCTCGTCGGGATGTGCAGTTCGCCAGAGTTCCTCTTCAGTGTAAGACTCAAACTCCATAGCGCGTGGCATGAATGTGAGCGATGGAGTGACCTCTTTCGTCTTGTCGTGTGTCATGCTACGCGGTGGGTCAAAGACTAGGACAACTGGGCTCACGTCAGCTTACACTGGGTCATGCTGGTATATAAACTCACTCGTCTTTCTCCCCTGATCGTCCATGCTTGACCAATAACCCATCCCCTCAGGGGCCATGACTCTGAGATCTCTGTTGGTCCAATAGCTCGGGTTCCGGGGAAGCACGGGATGGAACGTGCTGTAGGGCCGGTACACATTCGTTGTCTTGGTCCTGGTCGACGTGCTCTCGAGCTTGAGATGTACCGAAGACTGGGGTAAGCCACGCATCTCTGCTTCTTTCTTGAGTTTCCGTTTATGGTCCTTGAGATTCTCCTCTGCGCGCTTCCTTCTCTTCTCGGTCAATAGTAGCCCATACTTGTCGAGAACAACGTCACGCTCCATAGTCCACCGTCCGTCACACACTCGTTTGTCGATCTCATCCTCATAGAAGCCCTTTCGACCCAGGTAGTGTAAGAGACCCAAACGACCCCAGCGGAGATGCGCCCACTTTCGAGACTTGGTCCTTCGAGGTACGTTCCATTCCGTACGCTGACCGATCCCAGGTAGGGCGCGATGGCGAAAGCGGGTCTCTCGCTCAGCCCAGTTCATCCAGACAGCGTTCTTTAGCTTCAGACCGCTGTCGCTGGCACTATAGCCGGATGCGACAAGGTGTTCGTACCAAAACTCGGGGTCGATGGAGTACAGCTGACCCAGAGCTCCCATGACGAAACGGCTGAGGTCGCTCACCATGATGACCCGTACCTGGGAATCGGAAGGACGTTCTTCGAGCGCGGTGGCAAGCTCCATCTTGGTTGCAATCGGTTTGCTTCGTTGAACAGTGTCATCGGAAAGATAGTCGACAACCGAAACGGTAGCGGACTCGAGCCCTTCGAATCGCTCGCGGCGTGTGATGTTGAGCCATCGAGGATCCCATCGCGCGCGATTGTCGAGATCATTCATGTATAGCTCGGAAACAGTCTCGATCCAGAGTGCCTGATTAGAGAAGTCCTCATGCTCCTCTTGATCTTCGAGGATGGCTTCTCGGATCCCAGCAACCTTGGTGTCCATGTCCCGCTTGCTCCTCCCATACGACATGGAGCGCGTAGCCCTCCTTAGTCGAACATGGCGACTGTGATCAACGTCCTTTGCCAGCTCCGAGCCGAAGCGCGGCTCAATATGATCCTGGTCAATCGAGTTGCGCGGCACGCTGTAGTGAGGGTTCCAGCGCTGCGACGAGGGCCAGTCGAGCTCGTAGCTGGCAAGACGCTCCTCGTCAGTGGCCGGGGGCCTCTTGCTGAACATGACGCCGGCGTTTGAGCGACTTTGCTAGAGACTTGGATAGCGTCAATATGGCGTGAAGAGGGGAAGAGTTCAGTTCAGCCTTGCGATGAACCGAAACGGGACCTGAGGCTGGGGGCCAAAAACGAAATTGCGCCTGGAGCTGCAGCCGGGGTCTTGGCCCCATTCTTTTGAAGCAACATCCCTGCAGTGTTGACTTCTAGCTGGCTATAAAGAGCATCGCGCCCGTTGCGCTTCGTGGTGCAATCATGGTGCGGTCTGGCCAAGAACTGAAGCTTGCAGATGATGAAAATGATGTGGATGGTTTGTCTGAGTTGAGTTGCCAAGGGAGCTCAGCACGGGGAATGCATGGGTGAGAGCGGGAAATAGTGGAGATCCCGTGCCAACGCACAGCGGACAAAGCTTGGCCTGCAGCATTCCCCGATGCATGAGAGACGATGATTAATCTTCCTTGTCTGTGTTTGGTTATGTTCACTATTGAAACATTTCCTCTGTTGCTACAGCTTGGGAATGTCCATAACCAAGATCATATCTCCCACCTATCACGGTCATCCTACCTAGAAGTCGATTGGTGTCGCCTTCGGCACAGCCAAGCCGGTCCCTTCCAAGCTACTATGATCACAAAGCTATTTGAACAAAAGCCAAAGATGACTAGACGCATAGCTAATTCTTCCGATAGACCTATCCTTGTGGCTGGGTGTAAATAGTTGTCGGTGTGTCCGCCTCCACCTACCACTTCACGACGGCCGTCTCAACTTCTAGTATGCCTCGTCCCATTTTCACTCATTGACACCGCCCCTCGACCGATTAAGGCAGTTCTATACCGAATTCTGGTGTCATCCAAGCGTATAAACTTTCCCAATACAGCCCCCAACCCTGCATCACCAAAGGAACCAAACAATTCCCATCAATCGCCCAACGCGCAGCTTCGTATTGACTAAAAATGACCATTCCCCAAAAACGCGGTCGACCACGGAGTCCGCGGCGTCGCATCCATCCGTTCTCGACCTTTTACCAACGGCCCAGGACCCCAAATCGGGACATCTACCGTAAAGTCGGCAGATGGCTCCCGAGCTCAAATACCCGTTTGGGCCCGTATTTGACCCCGTCCCCCAGGTCCGTGATTTCCTCATGGGGCGGTGAATTGGCCTGAAACAAAAGCTCGGGTGACCCTTGCACGGACGAGAATTCTCCACGGCCCGTGGGAGAGAAGCATTATTTTCTCCGGACGGCAATTCGACGTCTCCAGAGACGCGGATAGAATGGGAATAAATACAGTAGAGTGCCGCCTTGGCATATTGGGCTGTTCATCTCTTCTTCACCTCGTCTTCACTGCAACACCAAGCCTCAAGCTCAAACCGCCATCATGCACTTTGCTACCCTCGCCACTCTGACTGCCCTCGTCGGCACCTCTGTTGCCGACACCTGGGGAGGTTCCGTGTCTCTCGGCCCTTCCAAGTCAACCATCATCAAGGCCGTCACCACCCTCATCCCCGGCGCTGCGCCCCCCACGCAGAACGGCATGCTCTTCCTGTGGCCCGGCATGTCCAACGGCACCGGCGACCTCGTCCAGACCACTCTTGAGGCTTGGCCCGATAACTCCTGGTGTGGTGCCAAGAAGGGCGAGTGGTGTGTCCGTGCCTCCCTCTTTGGCTCCTTTGGCCAGCTCGATGGCCCTTCCAGCCCTGTCCGCGGCGACCAGAAGGTCAAGATCACCTACACTCTCCTCAGCGACAACGACACATGGCGTCAGGATGTGACCGACGCCGACACCGGCAAGCAGCTCAGCGTCTTCGAGCACAAGTCGGGCCCCTTCATGCGCGGCTATGGCACCGGCACCGAGTGCAACGGCGGCTGCAGCCCCACCGTTTCTGAGCAGCGCTACCTCAACACCGAGATCACACTCGCCGCCGCCGACCCCAACTTTGGCAAGACTATCGCTACTGCTCAGAAGGCTACCTACAAGGGTCTGACCAGCACCAACGGCGGCAAGGTCTGGAAGATTAGCGAGATCCGCGTCCCTGCCATGGTTTAAGGTCCTGGGGTTTGCACGAGACGAGATGAACTTAACATTTTGTAAATGATTTGGGTGTACATAGGGGTCTTATGTGTATATATGTTGATTACCAAATACATGTGGCAGATTTGCCTCCATGATGAGACGTCTTTCACTCTAGATGCGATTTCGCGTGAAGAATTGAATGTATAGACAGGAGACAAAACTGTAATCAAGAGCTTGACTCATTCATATTCTAGTTCTTACTGTCTTTTCTGGCCAGTATAGCGTCAAAGGTTTGTTGGCCGGAGGAATCAAACAAACACCCGATCCAGAGAACTGACCTGAGCACCTTTTGGGCCTCAGGCCATGAACACAAGTTAAGGTCTTGAATAATGCCATGCATCCACTCTGCGAACACATTGTCCTCTGGAGAAGCAGTAATGTTCCATACCATGAGAAGCCAAAACAAAAGACCAAGAGGTGGTTTCGCAGAGGCTCCCCTCAACTTGGACAAAGCATCCCTAAAAATATCATCCAAGTACTTTTGTCGTTGATTCATGCTCCGCCATCGAAAGAAGATTGTCGCCGTAAATGCCATCATCCCGACACGCAGAGCATCTTCGATGGGTGACTCCGGAAATGAAAGAGCCAGCAACCGGTATAGGATCGAGACCATGATCTCGCTAAAAGTGTTGGGCTGTAGTTTACGAGACGTTTGATGCGCGAGATTGCCTAGCATGGCAAATTCTTGTAAGTCTTTCCAGACGTTGGCTAGCCTTTTGTCCAAGGTCTTGATGAACGCCGTGGCCTCGGTTTCCGGAATGTTGACCTTCCTCAGGCCGCGTATAAGACCCTGGCTCGCGATGTATGGGTCCCAAGAGATATTTGTATTGCAAAAGACTGGATTACAGCCGAACCGAAGAACCAGGCCAAGATCAACTCTGATGCATGTTAGTCGGACTCTCAACTGGATATGCATGCTACATACCTGCACACTTTGGCTGGAAGCCTAGCATTGTCGAATTTAAGCATCTCAAGACCACCTCGAAGGTCAACTATCCTCGCCATACCAGCCAAGTGATTCTCTGCAGCGGAGCGATCACCAATAAGCTCAGCAGTCAAGCCCAGAGTGACGACGACCATGATTGTAGCGTCCGATATAGATGCAGGGTTACCAGGGTCGTTGAGTCGCTCTTGAAGGAGTCGAAGTGTCTTGAGGAAATGGAAATGTGACAATGTGCCCTGGTCTCTACCGAAATACTGGTCAAAGTAAGCCTCGATGGAGAATATTGCTGAGTGAAAGTAGACCAAATCAACCAAGAGGTTGGTTGTCCAAGAGGATTGTGATGCATCGACTTGAAGGCAGATTTCTGAGGGATACAATGCTCCCTTCATTCCGTAAAAAGCTGCAAGTCCGGTCAGCGACGAACCAGCTGGTGGTTAGTTAGACATACATCGAACCAAGTCCTGTTTCATATAGGGCTGAAGAGGTTCTGGAAACTCAAGCAGCGAGAAATCCGATCCAACGCGGGCAGGGATGTATCCATGCTGGATTTCTACTTCTTTTTGTGCGTCCTTCTTTAGAATCCAAGATTTGATCCCGGGACGATCTTTTCGTGAGGGCCTGCCTCGAGACACATGGCTTTTTACCAGCTTTTGATTTTTTCGACTGGATTTCTGTGATGGCTCTTCAACGACAAACTCCAGTTTGCTACCTAGACCAGGTATTAGTCGTCATGAAGGTGATGCCTGAATATCGGCGTACCTGGGGCGGTGTGTGGCCTTTGGCTGGGCATGGTACAGCTCAAGGAGTTGATCCTTTGTTGTGCTCAAAAGTGACAAAGTCTCGAGTTAGTTAATTTGGAAATGATAAAGGTCGTCACAGTCGACCCCGGTGGAGTTGTCGAGATGCATGAGGTGGTTGAAGGAACAGAGTTGCCACACGAGGTTGGTGCCCGGAATGCCGGATGCTTAAATCCGACCGTCGGGTAAGCCCGCGTAGGGCTGACTGGGCAACTACAGGCTATAGCGAACATGTGCGATTAGGATGGATACCTTGTCGAGCTCTTCATAGGTACGGTTCAGGGCTACATGCGAGTCGTCCAAGTTATCCGACCACAAATTAGTCCAATTAATTACACAACAGCATATTAGGATACAACTGAGCCACCCAATTTCACTCCAGCATCTCCATGGGAACCATTCAGCAGTGATAAGTACCATGGATGACATTCCACTCGCCCTACATCCGAGCAATAATATCCTGCACCCCAGCGAAACTCAGCTCTTTGAGTGTTTCGTTCCACACCTGCTCCGACAGCACTTCACCATGGGTGTAGAACCAACATGCAAGCCTAGACGATGTTAGCGATGCTTCTTATCTGCAGAGGGTCCTAACTCACGGAGAAATCTGGCAGTTCATGAGAAAACAACCGTGGGACTCCTTTCCATGTCCGAATACGGCGTCCACATACGTCGCCGCACCCCTGTTTAGTGGTCTACCTGCGATGGTGTTGAACATCTTTGCAGCCACCGCGATAGCTCCTGTGGCGTGCTGAGGTAGGCCAGTGCCTTTGGTAAGACCAGGGTCGACCATGTTGACGATTACTTCGTTGGAGTCGACCTTCTCTGTCAGTCTCACGATGAAGAGTTGGTTTAGCAGCTTGGACACGCCGTATCTCTCCTGGCCGCTCCAAGGGGTAATTGCGGTGTCGTCAAAAGAAGCCAGGAGAGGTCGCTCATCTTTGTTGGGAAAATTGCATAGATGGGCCGTGAGGGAGTTGACGATGGTAAGCCGAGGCGGGCCTTGTCCAGTCACTTTGGTCTTCAGCACTGGGATCAGCAGAATTGTCAAGAGTGCTGTGCTGATGTGGTTGACCTGGATAGCCTTCTCGTGTCCAGTTGCAGCCGCCTTCTCAAAGATGAAGGGTGCAAGACCGGCGTTCAGGATAACAGCATCAATCCGTGTTAGGTTGGTTTGGCACTTTTTGGCAAAGGCTTGAATGGAATCATACGACTCCATGTCAAGCTGCCAGACCTCGATCTTTGCAGAAGGTGCCACGGCTTGAAGCCTTTTAGCTGCCGTCCTACCCCTTTCAAGGGACCGAACACCCATCACGAGATGAGACAGGCCGATAGAGAGGAGTTGCTTGGCAGACTCGAAGCCAAGACCAGTGTTTGAACCAGTGATGACGGCGCAGCTACCCTGTGCTTGGGGGAACTTTTCTTTGGTGGGTAGATCGATCGTGGTGCGAAACTGATTTTTGACGAAGATTGAAAGGAAGTTGGGAGGGAAAGGGTCCATGTATTTTGAGGGGACCGACTGCGAGCCGTTGGTGTCTTTCTTGCAAGGCATTGTGTAGATGGAAGAGAGGTGACGAGTGACGGTATTCAAGGAATTTTTAGAATGCAGAGGAAAATGTGAGAAGAAATCTTAAAGATGATGATAAGTTTGAACTCAGAGAAGAGAGACTCTAGACACTTTTATACTTGAAACTTGATCCCTCTGGTAATACTTTTTCTCTTCGAGCATGGAGTTAAGGGAGATTGACCCATGAGGGCATTGCCAAAAGAGGAAATTCAAAAAGTCTTGGCATTTTTGAAACTGCGTCATGGCCAATCAGATTCGTCCTCTGGCCGGCTAGTGGCTTACACCATGGAACATGGATCGTGGTAAGAGACCGCGGAGTTTAGATACAGGCTGGGAAGAAAACAGATTGAGAATTAATAATATTGCATTAAAGAGATGAAATACCCGAGGTCTCCGATGGTAGAGGCATATAGCGAGGTATACTTATCGCTTGGTTGTTGGCAAAGTCCCAACCCTGTAGCAGTCTTAGATGATGTCCATGCAACTGTGCCTAGTCCATTTGAGAATTTAAAGAGATCTGCCACAAGGACTTTAATGAGTACGTTTGATACAGAGAAGCTCCCTCGAGAAAGAAGATAAGAACGAAGGATTTGGTGCTTGGATTCATGTCTGCTGTTAGCACTCTGAGATATGCCAACCTGCCGACCTAGACTCTGACTACCACCACTCGTCCATGTTATGAAATAATGCCATTGGTCGCTCACAGGCTTCTCATATCCTCTTGGAAAATGTAGGTAATATGGTGGCAACTGCTATGTATTTCCCAAGGTCCATCATGAGAAATGCCGAATCTGTGTGGGGTTGCCGAGCTATGCTCCTTCAGGTAACCCGAGGCACCTTGCAACTGGACCGGGACCGACGGGGGGTTGTACATGTTTGTGGGACGAGATTTATAAGTTGCTTCGCGCTTGCTATTTGGATGATTATAATACTTCAAATTTAATATTCTTATCAGTATCGAGAAACGAATCATGTCCGCTGCTAGCCAGAGAATAGAACAGCTGTCCCAACAGCTTGAGACCTCAGGTCAACGAGCCAAGCAGGCCCTGCTGGAAGCAAAGCCAAGTGACGTGGTAAGTTGCAGGCCTGAGTTGCATTAATAATACAAGACTGATTTTGAACTGCCTAGGTCATAACCGTCGCTATGCGCACTGCACTGACCAAAGCCCGCAAAGGCTACTTGAAGGATACGCCTCTGGAGGGCCTCCTTCAACCTCTTCTCAAAGTCTGTCAATCTCTAGATTTCCATCACAAATCCTTTGCTTTAACTAATTTTGACGGTCCCTATAGAACGTCCGAGAAAAGGCTAGCCTTGACCCAAGTCTTGTCGAAGAGATTGTCGTCGGCAATGTCCTCCACAAAGACGCTCCCTTTGTCACAAGGGCATCAGCCATCGCCGCAGGCTACCCAGCCACAACAGCAATTTCAACAGTCAGCCGTTGGTGCTCCTCTGGCCTCTTGGCCGTGGAATCAGTAGCGAACAAGATCGCCGCTGGTAGCATTGACATCGGTCTGGCCGTCGGAGCCGAGAGCATGAGTATTAACCCTGACAATGGATCACCCGATTTCCCGGAGGAGTTTGAGAAGAATGAAACGATTAAGGATATCAAGATGCCAATGTCATGGACTTCTGAGAACGTCGCTCGTGATTTTGGCGTCACGCGAGAGAAGCAGGATGAGTATGCAGCAGCTTCATCGCAAAAGGCTGAGCGCGCTCAGAAGTCTGGTCTCTCATCACAAGAAATTGTACCCATTAAAACTACATGGAAAGACCCCAAGACAGGCGAGACATGCACCGTCATCGCGGACAAGGATGACGGCACCCGCTATGGAACGACCAAGGAAGGACTCTCCAAGATTCGATCTGCTTTTCCTCAGTGGCCCCCCGCCACAACTACAGGTGGGAATGCCTCTCAGATCACCGACGGCGCGGCCGCGGTCCTTTTGATGCGCCGTGATGTCGCAGAGCGGTTGGGAGTGCCTATCCTAGGCAAGTTTGTCAAGTCAACCGTCGTTGGACTCGACCCTCGCGTCATGGGTATCGGTCCTACTCTTGCGATTCCCAAGCTTTTGGGGAAAGTTGGCATCTCCAAGGATGACGTTGACGTCTTTGAGATTAACGAGGCGTTTGCCTCCATGGTATGAAACCCCATAACTCTTTAAGAATACTGGGACTGACATGAATTAGCTTGTCTACTGTGTAGAACACTTGAAGCTGGATCCCAGCCGCGTCAATCCCCGCGGCGGAGCAATGTACGAGTTCCCGTCCCTTTCGTGAATAGAGCAAGTAAGGCTGACCATGTGTTTATAGTGCCATCGGCCACCCTCTTGGTTGCACGGGGGCGCGCCAGATCGTCACAGCTCTAGCCGAGCTTAAACAAACAGGTGCGAGGATTGCCGTGACCTCCATGTGCATCGGTTCAGTAAGTCTTCTGTTGTTTCTACTTTCATCTCGTAGTCCTCTAGGTACTGATGCTTGACACAGGGTATGGGAATGGCTAGTCTGATCGTCTCGGAGCAGTAAGTCCAGGCTATACACGGGACGGTGAAAGCAAGATGCTATCACACGGGCAAGGAACGTTGTAACATTTTTAAGCTTAACTCTGCTTCCGTGATCCTTCTTCTGTAGACTAGACTGTAATTCTGGGAGGCATACACCTATTATCAATGAAAGAAAAGCTTCCTCGCCTTGATGTCTCCAAGGGCTTGCGACAATGCCAGGTTCAAATCCCTCAACATTGAGCTAGACACTGCCTTGTCCCACGCTTAAGAGACTACAGAGGGGTAAGATGCAACATGCCATACTCTCCTCGAGAGGCCTTCAGCGTGGGGCCGAGGTGGGAATGCAGAACCAACAGCTACAGTGACAACGAATATAAACAAGGTGGGACGATCTTGGATATCAACTCCTTTCATCTGGCCCCACGCTCTTAGCTCCCGAGCGATCTCCCCCCTGCTTCCCCGGACTCCTAGCCCCTGTCTCCCCAGATTCTTAAGCCACTCCCGCATTTCCCTGGGCTCGAGGAGCAAGCTGGCTCTGTTATAAAGAAGACTGTCTTTCAGATAGCAGAGGGACGTGTTCTTGTTGCAGCCCATCATCCCACATCACAAATCTAAAGCCCAGACTCCTGTTCAGCATGAGAGACTCTACCACCCACGAAGACGTTTCGGCAGTTGGCAAGTCCTCACTTGATGCGGTGGAGGGCATCACCGAGCTTGAACCCGTCAGGCTTGATATCGAGACTAACAAGCGAATCGTTCGCAAGATCGACTGGAAGCTGATGCCCATTGTATGTGTGACTTGTTTCTACGAAGCAAAGCCCCTCTGACCAAGCCTTTAATAGCTCTGCATTACGTATGCCCTCCAATACTACGATAAAGCCGTCATCTCCCAAGCTGCCATCTTCGGCTTGCGTTCCGATCTCGGCTTGGAATCCGGCCTCCGCTACTCCTGGGTCATGCTCATCTTCTTCTTCGGCCACATGGTGGGCATGTATCCCTGCTCATTACTCGCCCAGCGTTTCCGTCCCCGGCGAGTTTGTAGCACGCTCAACATCATCTGGGCCATGATTGTGCTCACAACGCCCGCGTGCAAGTCATACTCTGGAATCCTCGCCAACCGCTTCTTTCTCGGACTAGTGGAGAGTGGCATCAGTCCTATCCTGATGTTGATAGTTGGACTTTGGTATACACACGAGGAGCAGCAGTTACGGAGCTCGTGGTGGTATTCCTTTAGCGGCGGGAGTCTGTTGATCAGCCCTTTGGTCAACTTTGGTCTCGCTCACATCACGACAGGCGGACTGGCACCTTGGCAGTACATGTTTCTCGTCGCTGGTGCTGTGACACTCGCATGGGGAGTGTCGCTCATCTGGCTATTCCCAGACACGCCCCAAGAGGCCAAGGGGTGGACCCCAGAGGAGAAGAGACTCCTCTTGGAGCGGAGTCGACGCGATAACTCGGGCACAGAAAACACCCACTTCAAGGGGTACCAGGTGCGAGAAGCCCTCTTGGATTATCAACTCTGGTGTCTCGCCGCTATTGGGCTGCTTTCCAACACAGGAGCCGCTGCCCTGTCCACGTTTGCGTCCATCATGTTTTCCGGCATGGGCTTCTCTCCACGTGTTTCTCTTTTGCTCAACATCCCTCTCGGTGCCATGGCCTTTCTGTCTGTCCTCGGGGCAGGCTACCTAGGGACGACGCGGTTAGGAAGACTACGCACCTCCGCTCTCGCCTGTCTGCCCGTGATCCTGGGTTGTAGTCTAGTGTAAGTTGCCTTATTTGCATCCATGTGTTTTTCTGACACCCTGAACAGTTGGAAGCTCCCATCATCGAAGCCGGCGGGACGTATCTTCGGCCTTTATCTCATCTCCTTCTTCTCCGGTTGCTGGCTGCAGGCCATCTCACTGGGCACATCCAACGTGGCGGGATACTCCAAGAAGGGAGCGTACGCAGCAGGCATCTGGATAGGGTACTGCTTCGGCAATATTATCGGGCCATTGCTTTTCGACGCGTGAGTTGACTTTCATTCATTCCCCCTAGCGAGGTCTGACAAATGGGGTAGGAAATACGCGCCACGATATGATGAGAGCTTCACTGGTGTTCTCATCTGCTTCGCCACCCTCTGTGTCATATCACTTGGATTGAGATTCCTCCTTGCGAGGCGGAACGCGGGTCGCGATGCCAAGTACGGTGCACCCGAGTTTCATCACGGTTTGGATGACATTACGGACAAGGAGAACAAGTCATTCCGATGGACACTGTAAGACGGCCGGTGGGAGGAAACGATGGGGTATTTCCAACGTGATGTTATTGAGACAAGGGCACGTAGGAGGAGGACATGGGATTAAGATCAGACCATCATTTGACAGACCAAAATACGCGCATTTATGAAGTCATTTATGTGTGTGCATATGCGAGTGTGCTATGCACCTCATGGACCACGAGACCAACTGCACATGGGGTGTACGCTGTTATTATCAAGGGTGCTTTGCGGTCAATTAAACTAGCCGTCGACCCTATATACAGGCAACGGATCATGTGCTGAGGCCCCAAACTGATGCTGCAAGGATGGTTGGGGCACATCATTCTACTAACACTATACCTCGTGTAGTTTTTGAGGTGGGTTGGGAATACGCCTCAGGCTGCATGTGGCGTAGAAGGATTATGAGGAATTGGCTATGCGTCGGTTGAATAGATGTAAATTCACGTCTCCCGCTTTATCGCTCATCTATCTCAAATTCTCGCAGCAATAGTCTCATCAACCCCCTGCCCCAGAGATGCATACAGCTCCTGGAACCGGTCTCGGATATCTCCAATACACTCATGCTCAAAGATCATCTTCTGAATCTCCGGGCTCGCCCACTTATCCGGCACCGGCGCCCCCTTCGTCTTGGCCGCTGCGAATTGTCGATCCCGCTCCTCCTTGGCCTTGCCCTCGCCTAGATGTAGTGTCCGAGCGGACAGAGCAGCAAGTTCTACCAGAGTAGATGTTCGAGGTTTTCTGGCAAGCTCGTATACCTTGAGGGTCTTGGTGAGTTCTTCGCGATCTGCTCCTCCGCCTGGAACTAGGGACACGGCCTCCGCTAGGACGGCGGCATCCTCGATGGCCATGGCAGCTCCTTGCGATAGATGAGGGAGCGTTGGATGACAAGCGTCTCCTAGTAATGCCACACCACCGAGGGTCCATGTGTCTAGGGGCTTGTGGCTACGTAACCGCCACTCAACAACATCTCCGTCGGGAACGAGGTCAAGGAGCTTCTGAACCAAGGGGCAAAAGTCAGAGTAAACTTCCTTCATGGCCTTCTTGTCACCCTTGTTCGTCCAAGTCGCGTTGATGGAACCTGCAAAGTTGACGTCAGGTTGAGCTGTGGCGATGTTGTATATCGTGTGGTTGTGAATTGGGTACGCAATAATGTGTCGTTTGGATCCTATCCAGCGCCGAACCGCGTCGCTGTCAATCAACTTCAGTAACTCAGGATAAGGCTCGAGCTTTTCGCGTTCGACAAGGATGCGGTAGGCAGCTGTACCGGTCTCTTCGACCTCGGCGGAAAGGTTTAGAGAGTTCAGTATCGACTCTCGGACTGGGGACTTGATGCCATCGGCGCCAATCAGGACGTCGGTCTCAACGACACGCTCGGCGCCATCACCGCCCTTGATGACAAAAGCGACCTTGTCGGGCCCGAAAGATGTGACGCTCTGTAACGTCTGGCCGAAGTGAAAATGAACGTTGGGTTGAGCCTTTGCGGCGTCATAGATGTTGCCCGCCAACGCAGCCCGATGGCCGGCGTAATGCGAGTACCCGTATTTCTGGTGGATATCTTCCATGGGAACGCGCGCCAACTCATTATTTGTCGGACCATCGTAGATGTAAACCTCTTTGACATTGGTGGATTCCTTTTCGAGGGAAGAGTTCCCCCAGATACCTAGCTTATCGAGGACGCGGATCAGATTGGGGGCGATCTGGATGCCGGCGCCTACAAAGCCCAGGGCGGGTGCATTTTCGTAGACGTGAACTTGTTTGAACCCTTTCTTGGCAAACGCGAGAGCGGCCGTGAGCCCTCCCATTCCTGAGGTGGGAGTTTAGCAGCTTGTCAACTGGGGGTATTGTGTTCTGTACCTACCTGCGCCAATGATGGACACCTCAAGATCCCGGTAGTCAGCCATGGCTTCTGTTTCCGTCTGGCCCTTCAGTTGAGAGGTATTCGTATGGTGGGTTAGGTTAGTAGTACTTGGTTTCCTGAGTATCTCAACTCAACGTCGTCCACCCAAGTTCTATACTCTCCTCAACACCATGAATCCTTGTGGGGCTACATGATCAATTGGACCTGACCGAGGTTCCACGTGGGGCTTGTCGAATCAAGTTGATGTAATGTGGGATGAACCATGTCCCCGCATCCCCGTGGGGAAACAAGGGTCTTCGGGTCCGAGTATCGGTAGTTGATGATTGGCTTTAGAAGGGGAATCATTGGCTGCGTTACATATGGGTCTGTTTTTACTGAGCTGTCTTGGTGTTTTCGGTTCGTTGATCTCTTGTAAGATCGTCATGTTCTCTGGACTAGGTAGCGATTGAACAAAGCGAGCACTACGTGATTCTAAACTTTGAAGTTCTTAAGAAGCAAATGGACTGGGCCAGTGGAAGAGAGTTGTAAATGCTTTGCCTTGCCTTCTTGGGGTAAGCAACATGCTTGACCTAAATGTCTGAATGGCCGTGAGCAACTCGCATCTAATCAACGAAAACTGACTACTGCTTCTTGGCGCACATGTCAAGAATCTCCCTGACCTGCGATTCCTCTGTAATTGGCACGGCATTTGTCCGTATCCATATATCCTCCAGACTATTTCGCGCAAGTGTATCGAGGCTCTCCTGGCCAATGCCAACCTCTTCAAGCGACCGGGGCATCTCCAATGCCGAGATCACAGCCGCCAAGATATCACCAAGGTCTGGCTCTTTTCCATCCAGTGCCTTTGACTTTAGTAGCTGCTTAACCTCCTCCTGTCCTAGTAGCAAATCCTTGACCATGGCCTGCCGGTCGACGTTTGCCTTGTACTTCAGGTTGAACTTGCACACGGCCGGTAGTAGAATGCAGCTTGTCTCGCCATGACCCACGCCGAGAGGTCCAAGTTGATGTCCGATTGCGTGGCTGGCTCCAAGAGGAACACCACTCGACACAGCGCACATGGCTTCGATGACGCCCAGTTGACAGAGATGCCGTGCTTGTAGCGATTTCGGGTTTGCCTTGCTCTCCAACAGCCCCGAGATCAATTTTGGAAGACCTCTCTTGGCCCAGGTGTCGCCCTTTTCGTTTGACAGAAGCGAGCAGAGCGTCTCTACGCAGTGGTCCACTGATCGAATACCAGTGCTGAGCCATACCCACTCAGGCGTGGTGAGGCAGAGCTCTGGATCTTGAATGACAAGCTCGGGATCGACTCTTTCGCAGTGAAATGTCCTTTTGGCGTGGCCTTGGGACTCTGTTCCTCCGGCGATGGCCTGATACTCGCCTCCGGAGAGTGAAGTAGGGATGTGAATGAGAGGAATGGTCGGTTTGACAATGTCCTTGCGCAGCGCTAGATTACTCTCTGCCGTGCCCCAGAGAGTATTCATAGCCTCCTCTGTGGCAGCAGAGTTGGCCAAAGCCAAACGCACCAGTTTGGCAGCGTCTGTAAGACTGCCAGCGCCGAGGGTGACCAGGCAGTCAACGTCGCGATGGCGAGCATCTTTCACCACCTCCAGGACCTGCGCGATCGGTGTGTGGGGGCTGATGCCGATTCTCACCCCCGCAACTCGGTCGCCGAGTGCAGCTGTAAGACGGTCGAGTGCATCTGTTGCTTGCGACAGCGACTTGGAGCAAATGATGTAAACCCGAGAGCTGGAGAAGGTGTCTCTACAGTGCCGCAAGCAGGCTTCCGGGAACCGCAGACCGTACGAGATCTTGGGTGTTTCTCGATCGTCAAAGGCAGGACGAAACGTTTCGATACCGAATTCAAAAGACATGATGAAGTTTGTCTTGAACGTGGTGTTTGAGGAATGACGTCGCAATGTAAAGAAGAGAATAAGACGGGCTTGTCTCCACGTGGGGCTGGCTCATGTCCCACATCCCATCTATCATGGGCATCAAACATCAAGTACTCGCAAAAAGGACCATTGCGAGCCGATCATGTATTTTCATTATAGAGTCAAATCGATAGTCAGTTGGCTCAATGTCGAAAATTACGAGAAGCGCTCGGGCGCTCATGACCAAGTCGCCCAACGACGTCGTCGTCCTGTCAGCCATTCGAAGCCCCATCACCCGCTCATTCAAAGGCGGATTCAAAGATGCCTGGCCGGAGGACATCTTGGGACCAGTAAGAGAGGATAACTTGAGAATTTGTCCCTTGACTCACCTTGACAATGCCAGATCATGGCGGAAGCCCCAAGGCGAGCCAACATCGAAGCCAAGGATGTCCAAGACGTCCTCATAGGCAACGTCCTCGCTGAGTTAGGCTTCGCAAAGACTGGGCGAATGGCCCTCCTTAATGCTGGCTTCCCAGTGACAACCACCTTTCACACCGTCAACCGACAATGCTCAAGCAGCTTGCAGGCCGTCACCCACCTGGCGCACTCCATCTGGGCCGGCCAAATCGACGTGGCCATGGCTGGCGGCGTTGAGAGCATGTCCAAGAACTACCAGACCCGCGGTGTGCCCGCCGACGTAGGCCCAAGCCTCCGAGGCACAGCCGTCAAGTCGGCCGCCGACTGTCTGATGCCCATGGGCATCACCTCGGAGAACGTGGCAAGTCGCTACAAGATTAGCCGCCAGATGCAAGATGAGTTCGCACTTCTCAGTCATAGCAGGGCAAATCAGGCACGCTCTGCCGGTCACTTTGATAGTGAGATTGTACCCGTCGAGTATACTGTCGTAGATGGAGAGGTTAAAAGCCGCGTACGGGTCGAAGCCGATGACACAATTCGGGCTGGTGTAACGCTGGAGAAGCTAGCAAAGTTGAAGCCAGCCTTTATCGAGACGGGTGGCAGCACAGCCGGAAATTCGTGTGTTGGACCCCAAACTTCTTGTCGTTCAAGCTAACGTTCTTTGTAGGTCTCAGATATGCGATGGAGCATCGGCAGCTATCCTGGCCCGTCGATCTTGGGCCGAAGCTCGCGGTTTAAAACCCCTTGCACGGTTTCTGGGCACCCAAGTAGCAGGCTGCGAACCAGACGAAATGGGAATGGGGCCCTTGTATGCTATCCCGAGACTTTACAAGCATGTCGGTATCGATCAAAATGATGTCGACGCGTTTGAACTGAACGAAGCTTTCGCCAGCCAGACATTGGCTTGCATCCACGAGCTCGGCCTCGACGTTGACAGGGTCAATCCCAACGGCGGTGCCATTGCCATCGGTCACCCAACTGGAGCTACCGGGACGAGACAGTTGGCCACGCTTCTCGCTGAGCTTGCTCGTCAGGACAAGGAGGTCGGGGTTATCAGCATGTGTGCCAGGTGAGTCACGAAACCCACGTCTTGAAGCGGATGCTAACCATTTACTCCAGCACCGGTCTTGGCGTGGCCTCTGCTTTCGTTAGAGAAGAGTAGTGACCTACTTGGTTCATATCTTGGTTTCAATCACCTCCTGTTAGGTGCCAGTGTCGATATTGGTCTCAGCTGTTGCCATTTGATCTGTAGGTAGATGGTTACTAGCATGTGAGATTGTTAATAAATACTTCACTGTAATTGGTCACAACGCTCCGAGGTCGGCCAGTACCCTGCACCTCTCCACTGAGTGCCATGACTAACCCCCGGTAAAAAAGTCTGGGGAACTCAATCGACGAAAGTTGTTTTCGAAATTTTCCCAGTGCTCACGACAGCGATTCTAGAGTCCTTTGCGCTCCCAGAAACGAGATGCTGTACAGAGCAGTGAGTAAATCCACACCATCAATGGAATAATTCATTAGAAATACTAACGCTCCTAGATCGCGACAGCCCCTTGGGCTCGATCGCTCGGCCGAGCAACCAGGCGCATGTCAAGTCGAACCGTATGCAGCCAACATGTCGTCCATTCGCGATACCAATACTCTCCCCGCCGGTTATTGAACACGACAAGCGTCCATCAAGCAACAGTTTCATCTGCGAAAGTGCCGGGGGAGCCCAGTCTTGGGCCCAACCTTGGCAGCACTCCGACTCAGAGCAAGACACCGCAAACCCTCACGGAAAAGATCTTCCAACGCCATGCCGTCAATCTCCCAGAGGGCACGATTATACGAAGCGGCGACTACGTTCAGATACAACCTCATAGGTGTCTTAGTCACGATAACACCTGGCCAATTGCCCAAAAGTTCATGTAAGAGATGCCGAATTGACTACTTTCAGTTTGCCCTTTTGAAGCATCCGCTGGGATGCCATCAAGACCACTCCATTGACTGCTGCAGGTCTATGGACGCTACGCGAATCAAGGATCCCAAGCAGCCAGTCTTTGCACTTGATCACGATGTTCAATCCAAGACTGAAGCCAATCTCCGCAAATACCGATTGATCGAAGAATTTGCCAAGGAACATGGCGTCGACTTTTTCCCCGCCGGCCACGGTATCGGTCATCAAGTCATGGCAAGTCCTCTTATGGACCCCCCGCTTAAGCCATGCTAACCTGATCAGATTGAAGAGCTGTTCGTTTGGCCAGGTACATTATGTGTTGGATCGGATAGTCACAGCAACATGTATGGCGGTATAGGATCCCTGGGGGTTGCCCTGGTGCGATCAGACGCAGCCTCAGTCTGGGCGACCGGCAAGAGTTGGTTCCAGGTACCCCCTATCGTGCAAGTAACCTTGACTGGGACATTACCTCCCGGTGTGACTGGAAAGGACGTCATCATAGCACTCTGCGGGCTCTTCCCCACGGATGTACTTAACCATAGTGTTGAGTTCGTGGGCTCCGAGGAGACCATGTCCAGTCTAGCGGTTGACGACCGTCTTACCATAAGCAACCAAAGCACCGAGTGGTCGGCTACTTCTGCAATGGCACGTTCTTATTCCCTCCGCGATTCGCGTCGGTTAATCATGTCTAATGCTTGAATTTGTTATAGTTCCCGATTGATGAGACTCTGAAGCGCTGGCTACGATACAAGGCAACAGAGGCGGCAATGTACGAGGACCGAACTACCCGGGAGCGAATCACACACGAAAAGGTCGACGAGCTATTTGCCAACCCTTTGCGAGCTGATCCCGGAGCCCAATACGCCAAGAAGCTTTACCTTGACCTCTCCAGCCTCTCACCTTACATCTCGGGACCCAACTCCGTCAAGGTCTCGACTCCGCTGAGCGAGCTTGAACCAAAGAACATCAAGGTTGATAAAGCTTATATCGTAAGCTGCACCAACTCGCGAAGCTCCGATCTTAGGGCTGCCGCCAAAGTATTCCAGGATGCCGCCGAGGCCAACGGCGGCAAGATTCCGAAGATCGCAGAACATGTTAAGCTATACATTGCGGCAGCTTCGATCAATGAGCAGACTATCGCCGAAGACGAGGGCAGCTGGCAGACATTACTTGACGCCGGCGCAATTCCTCTCCCTGCTGCCTGCGGACCTTGTATCGGGCTGGGAACTGGCCTTCTAGAGGATGGTGAGGTTGGAATCTCTGCCTCGAACCGCAATTTCAAGGGTCGGATGGGCTCAAGACGTAAGTTCTATCCTTGACATATTTGTCCTCGAAGACTAATTGTGCCAGTCGCTCTTGCCTACCTTTCCAGCCCCGAGGTTGTGGCTGCTAGCGCTCTAAGCGGCAGGCTCTCGGGCACCGGTGTATACAAGGCCCCGGAGAACTTTAACGGTGTGAAGTTCGGCTATGGCACTGGCCTACCGGACTCTCCTTTGAGTCAGCTCGACAGCGCTGTTGAGCAACTCGAGTCTTTCATCGAAAGGGTGGAGGCCTCTGTCTCCAAGGATGGCGGCAATGATGCCAAGGCAACCACTCGAATTCTTCCAGGGTTTCCAGAGAAGATCACAGGCGAGCTTTTGTTTTGTGATGCCGATAACCTTGATGTGAGTTTTCCAAATTCAGTGTATGAACTTCGTGTACTAAACATTCCTTCTTCAGACCGACAACATCTATGCTGGAAAATGTGAGTGATGACTTACTGGTTGCGCCTTTTTCGGTCTGAGCAGCTCAACTGACCCTTTTTAGACACATATCAGGATGACATTACCAAAGAGGGCATGGCAAAGGTCTGCATGGAGAATTATGATCCCGAATTTAGGTCCATCGCCAAACCCAACGACATCCTCGTCTCAGGAGCCAACTTTGGCTGCGGTTCATCAAGAGAACAAGCAGCAACGGCCATCCTGGCCAAGCAGATCCCCCTCGTCGTCGCCAGTACCTTTTCCAGCATCTTTGCCAGAAACAGCATTAATAACGCCCTCTTGGGCTTGGAAGTGCCACGACTCGTCGAGCGCCTTCGGGCCGCATTCCCTGCATCGGAGAAAATACCCACACGGCGTACAGGTTGGACTCTAACATGGGACGTTGCTCGGAGTGTTGTCGAGGTGCAGGAAGGCGAAGGCGGGGAGCGTTGGGAGGAAAAGGTTGGCCAGTTCCCTGAGAATCTGCAAGAGATTATCGCCAAGGGTGGCTTGACGGACTGGACCAAGGCCGAGATTGCAAAGGCGGAGGTATGAAATCCTCGGAATTTATGGCGAGTATCTCTTGGTGGTGTTTTGGTATGATACCTATGAATTTAGACATTTAGAGCTGATGGGAAATGCTGTCTTGAGTTTGATGGCCAACTGAGGTTCCTTGATCTTATGAGTAGCTCCGATGACCAACACTTCATCAGTCGAGGGCAGCAGGTTTCCGTTCTCCGCTTCACTCTCCCGATGTGAGCAAGTCAATCATGAAGGAGTACACGACCAACATGATCCCCCCTCCAGGTGCAAAACGCACAACCTTTGGCACAAGCCCCTTGTACAACGCCACAACTCCCTCCTCCCTGTAAACTTTTATCATACCGGACCAAACCCAAGGCAGAGTCTCTTTCGCACCAGTGCTGCTCTGAATCCGGCTCTTGACCACGTCGAACGGCGTGTTGAGCAGCGTTCCAACCGTCCCGCCTACAGACCCAGCAATTAGGTCATTCACCATGGTATCCTTCTTCGCCTCAGCCGTCGGAAGAAGAGAGCGCACTTGAAAGATACACCCAAAGTATCCAGCGTTCCAGACAATGTGTCTCCACACGGTGCTCTCAAAGCCTTGGTATAGACCCAAGGGTCCAGACTCGCGAACGATCTTGACAGCACAGTCTAGAACGCCTTTGTACCTTGCTGCAGAAGATTTGTCCTGAAGTCGTATCTTGACTAGTTCGAACGGCACGACGACTATGGATTCTGTGGCGCCGGCACTTGCGCCAGTGAGGATGGCGAGCTTCTGGTCTCGACGCTGGGTGTTGAACACGTCGGCGTAGAACTTGGCCCAAGAGTCATTTGCGGTGAATTTCGTTGCTCTGAAAAGACGGTATTAATATCTCGGATGAAGAACTAAGCTGGATCGAGTACGGGCCTCTTGGGGGTCTCCATTAAGACCGGGGCTAGAATTCCTCGGTAGAAGCGGCCGACACTGACAAGACGGTCAGCGTTTTCGAGTTGTGAAGGGACAAGTAGCGCACCCTTCTTGCTTTGCTATCTTGCGGAAACAGTCTATCATGCTTGAGTAAACCACGGTTCCGCTCGTGCTCCGTTGAAGCTGTCTTTGAGTTGTTAGGAGAACGTGATGCTCATGTCTGGGCTTGCTCGCTCACAGTCTTGTCTTGACCACATCTAGTGGATACCTGGTGCCTCCATCAGCCTATACTCATTCATTTAGAATACTTTGGGCGTTCTACATGATCAAGATCTACCACCGTCAGCTAACAGTGTCAGCATAGACATCCTCGGCACCTGTCGACTCACTTCAGAGATTCCCGCAACGCCGCCTGTATCGAGACCGGATTAGCGTCCTTCTCCGTCTATGCAATTTGTCATCAAGTTGTATTTTGCACATACCTGCGAGCAACTGTTGCGGAAACGTGGCGGTGGTAGCCTGTCCTGGGGCCATGCTGACAATCTCACGAAGCAACAAGATGTACGACTAACAAATCCCTTCTTCGACCCGTTACACATCTGGACTGATGAGTATATAGAAACCTGGGTCCCACTTTGAGAATGAAAGCAGGTCCCACAGCTTTTGATGCAGGTGATGTGGGACATTGGGGCCATTTACAGATGTCATGATGGACGCAACAAGGGACATGTCTTTGTGGATGGCGATTTGGATCTTCTAATTCAGGTCTAAATTATTGATACACTACGATAAACCTTTATTTACACTAACCACCTGGTCATGCTCCAACTGCTTAATCTCAGCTGCGTCAAGTCCCAGGACCTCGGCCAGAACTTCCTTAGTGTGTTGTCCCAGCAATGGTGGAGGAGTTCGTATAGAAGGTCCAGTTCTTGAGTATTGAACTGGACTATTGAGGACCTTGAGCTTTCCCAGCGCTGGATGATCTAGCTCTTTAACCATCCCTCTCGCCCTAACTATACCACGATTAACTCCTTGCCAACTGGATGATATGGAAGGGGACCTTACCGTGTGGATGATCAAGTGTATCCTTCAGGTCATTTACCTTGGCGTATGGAAGACCTGTGCCCTCAAAGGTGTCGAGCCACTCCTGTGTTGTCTTGGATTTTGTCGTGTCCTCTATCCACTTCTCTAGAACCTCTCTGTTCGCCACGCGTGAAGAGTTGGTTGAGAAGCGCTCGTCGCTCGCCCACTCTGGCTTCTCTAGACACTTACAAAGGACGCCAAAGAGTCTATCGTTTGCACCACCAATCAGAATATCCCCATCGCTGGTACGGAACGCACGATATGGAACAACCGAAGCTGAGCATGTTAGGATCTGTGTGCAAGGTTATTGGGTTGGTTACTCACGATGAGATGTGCCGTAGCGACCACCATCTCTCTTGCCCGTCACCAGAACCGACTGGGCCATGTTCGATAGGGTCGCAACTTGGCAATCGCTTAGGCACACATCAAGGTGCTGCCCCTGACCGGATTGCCCTCGCTCAATGATGGCAGCCAAGACACTGTTGACTGCGTACAAACCGGTCGTGAGATCTGTGACTGCGACGCCCACCTTGACTGGTGGTCCGTCTCGGGGTCCTGTGATGTGCATCAAGCCCATTTCCCTACATGTGCGAAGTCATCTCGTCAGCAACTGACCTCATCCATCTCGGTGTTCAAACCTACGCTTCCACCATGACATCGTATCCAGCACGGTCGCTATACGGCCCCGTTTGGCCATAACCCGTGATACTCGCGTAGATGAGTTTAGGGTTAATCTTTGCCAGACTTTCATAGTCCAGGCCATACTTTTTGAGGCTTCCTGGTAGGTAATTCTCGACCAATACGTCCGAGTTCTTGACCAGCTTTGTTATAATGTCGACACCGGCCTTTTCCTTGAATGAAAGAGCCAGAGACTTTTTATTCCGATTGACCTTTATACCGAGGAAATTAGAACGTTGCCTGGTTCCTTAGTCCAATGAGACATACCGACAAATAGTAAGCGCTCTCCCCTTGCCCGCTTCGGCCATCCAGATATGGTGCATAGGGAGGTCCCCAAGCTCTCGTGTCGTCGCCTCGCGTAGGATGTTCGATCTTGATTACCTCGGCTCTGTCTTTTGATGAGTATATGGGACTACCCGGACCATTGTTCTTTGGCTTACCCTAAGTCACCCAAAATCTGAGCGCAATATGGCTGTATTGTGTTAGCCACGAGATACCACCATCATAGGAATTGATCTACCCCAGCCAAAACTCTGGACATGTCAAGAACCCGAAGCCCGGTCAAGGGTTGCCTTGGGGCCGCGAGGGTGGCATTGCCCCTACAGAACAAGGTCGGTCGCGGAAACGACGCCAGTCTCGATCGAAGAGGCAGCATTGGTAATATCCGGAATTGCATTGGAAGATTGTTCTTGCTCGTTACTCCAACTGCCAATCTAGATTCTGGAAAATAATGGAATTTGATGCCTTGTAAGTAGGTAGTCAATCATCCACTTGAGCTTCATGTGGGACGGTTGGGCGTCCCACGCAGCAACGTGGGGCCGGCTCATGGCGTTTCCTCATGAATGCCGATATGAAGCAGGTACATTTCTATGATTACCGGAGTAGAAGTGTTTATTCTATGTTCTATCCTACCTATCAAAGGTACCGTACACCCGAACTACAGTTGCTAAACTCGTCCACCCGTCCCAACCCGCTTCGTCTAGGTGCATAGAAGATGTTCAAGCACGTATTTCGCCTCACCACGGCCTCTTCCCGGACAGTGTCATGCTTCTACCGCAGTTTCTCTGGCTCTACCTCATTGCGGAGAATTGACAAAATCTCCTCATCCGTGACCGACGCCATCGGTGGGCTCAAGAGTGGTTCGACGGTCCTGGTTGGCGGCTTTGGCTTCTCTGGAGTACCGAACACACTCATCAACGCCGTAGCCACACGACAGGATATAAATGACCTTACGGTGGTCTCCAACAATGCTGGAATGCCGGGCGTTGGACTGGGTCCGTGATCCAGCAGACACTGTGTCTGGATGTGGCTGACTTGGCATAGGCCAACTACTCGAGACGCGCCAGATCAGCAAGATGATGGCATCCTACATCGGAGAGAACAAAACTTTTGAAAAGATGTATCTGACCGGTGATCTCAGTCTGGAGTTGATCCCGCAGGGGACAATGGTTGAGAGGTGTGCTGCCGGTGCTGCTGGTGTACCAGCATTCTACACACCAGCTGCAGTCGGCACAATAGGTTAGTAAAGGCTAACCCTTGAGGAGAAAGTATGAAGCTGACCTGAGCGAAACAAAGTCCAAACTGGCGAGCTTCCCGTAAAATACAACCCCGACGGCACCGTGGCCACCATGTCCAAGGCAAAAGAAATGCGACAATTCAATGGCAAGAACTACGTCCTAGAAGAATCAATATTCGGCGATGTTGCGTTAGTCAAGGTTCACAAGGCTGACAGGCTGGGAAACTGCACATTTCGCAAGGCTCAGAACAACTTTAACGAAGCCATGGCAAAGAACGCCAAGCTCACCATTGTCGAAGCTGACGAGATCGTCGAGGTCGGTCAGCTCGAGCCCGAGAGTATTCACCTCCAGGGTATATACGTTGACGTGGTAATCGAGAGTACCGAGCCAAAGAAGATTGAAAAGTTGGTGTTTGACAAGAATCCCGAGGAAATTGTCAAGGGTGAGAAGCCACACGCATGGAATAGGATTGTTGCTAATTGATCAACCTCCAGAGACAGCATCAAACTCCAAGCGGGAACGCATTATTAAAAGAGCCGCCAAAGAGCTAAAAGACGGCATGTACGTCAACCTCGGCATCGGTATCCCCCTAGCGGCGCCGGCTCTGGTGCCCGACGACGTCGAGGTGGTGCTGCAGTCTGAGAACGGTATCCTGGGCATGGGGAGATACCCCAAGCCTGGTGAGGAAGACCCAGACCTCATCAACCCCGGAAAGGAGACTGTGACTCTGAATCTGGGTGCCTCGACCTTTAGTAGTCGAGAGAGCTTCAGCATGATCAGGGCGGGCAAGATTAACCTCACGATGCTGGGCGCGCTGCAGGTTAGCATGTACGGGGGTAAGTCTCGAGATGAAAGCACTCTTGAGAAAATAATGCTGATGATGCAGACCTCGCCAACTTTATGCTTCCGGGCAAGGTCAAGGGCATCGGCGGTGCCATGGACTTGGTCGCGAACCCAGAAAAGACAAAAGTGGTTGTCACCATGGTAAGTTGACGACACTGCAAGCATCCCCTGACTTGGTACTAATGTGATTAATAGGAGCACGTTGATCGAAAAGGGCGTCCAAAGATTCTGAAAGGTAAGTCGGAGCTGACAAAGACCCTTTAAGCAAAGACGATTCTAACTGAGGATGTTTAGAATGCACGTTCCCCCTCACTGGTCCCCGATGCGTGTCAAGAATCATCACAGATATTGCAGTTTTTGACTGTACGCCCAATGGACTGGTGCTTAAGGAGTTGGTGGATGAGGTCAGTGTAGATGAGCTGAAGAGCCTGACGGACGCGCCGTTTGAGATAGCAGACGACTTTAAGCCTTACGAGGTATGAGTAGTCAATGATATATTCTGACTTCCTTGAGGTGTCTCATCATTCATTTAGTTCCCGTGCCGTGAGACATTGCCATGTTGGCTTTGCAATGATGCCAAATTGACATGAAAGCTCTTTGCCACGTAATCGGGTTCCTTGACATCACAAGTCAGTACAAGACAGTAAACCATTGTTTCAGCAAGAATTCGACTGCTCGCCTTGTGGAAAATTACTCTCCAACACTGCTGGGCTCATCCCGAAATTAACCTTGACAGACGCGACTAGATCACCGCGTCAGGACATGGATCTTGCTTAAATACAATCTACAGATAAAATTCCAAGGCAGCAACTCGCTGAAAATTGTACAACTATTTACTATATGCCCCCAGTGTGTCGTCAATCATCCGTTGGGATGAACCCAAGTAGTTCACCGGATCACACAAGGCTTCCAACTCTTCTATCGAGATGGCATCAACCACTCTCTTGTCCTCCTTCAGCGTCTCGAGCAAAGTTGCCTCACCGCCACGCTCAATCGTCTTCTTACAGGCTTCATACACAACGTCGTGGGCATTTTGCCTGCCCACGTACTTGGCCAAGCTCATCATGACCGCCTCCCCTACAATCAACCCCTTGGACATGGCTAGGTTGGTTGCCATTTGACCCTCGTGCACTTCAAGTCCAGCTAGGGTAAACTCGGCCTGATGGAGGGCACCAACCGCCGCGACAAAACTCTCAGGAATGGCGACCCATTCCAGGTGCCATGGGCCTGATGCGCGCTCAAAGTCAGATACCATGCCATCAAGGACAAGGCCAGCGTTTGAGCGTAGGACTTTGGAGGCTGCTAGAATGACCTCGCTGGAAATGGGATTGCGCTTCTGCGGCATGGTGGATGAGGCGCCTCTGTGAGGTACGAATGGCTCAGCAACCTCTCCAAGCTCGTTGGAAGACATGATGATGAGGTCCAGCGCTATCTTTCCGAGCGAGCCCCCAATGAGGGCCAGCAGGTTGATTGCCTCGGCAATACCATCACGAGCTACATGCCATGTGATGGGAGGGTCTGCTAACCCCAGCTCGGAAGCAAGCTGCTTGCGAATATTGATACCATCCTCACCCGGCCCCAGAGAGGCAAGCGTCCCAGCAGCACCTCCGTACTGCACCATCAGAGCCCTAGGTCTCAGCTGCTGCAGCCGCTCCCTGTGGCGATACAGTCCAGAGAGCCACACTGCGCACTTGTATCCAAAGGTGACGGGTAGAGCATGTTGCAGATGAGTGCGCCCAGCCATGGGGGTATCACGGTGTGTAACGGCAAGACGCTCCAGGGCAGCAATGACTCCAGACAGTTTTGTATCGACAACTTCAAGCCCAGCTTTGACCTGCAAGACACTAGCCGTGTCCATGATATCCTGCGTCGTGGCACCCCAGTGGACGTACTTGCCCGCAGGGCCACACATGGCGCTGAGCTGGCGCACCAAGGGCAAGATTGGGTATCCGACGATATCAGTCTCGTTACGAAGACGGTCGAGGTCGAGGGCCGAGACATCAGCATTTGATGTGATCTGGTCGCCGGCGTCGGCGGGGATGACACGGCAATGAGCCTGTGCCCGCGCGAGGGCCGTCTCGACATCAACACATCGTCGGATGTATGCCTCGTCACTAAAGATCTATTCAAGCGTCAGTAGATTTATGTTATAAGCAGAACCTCAATTCTTACATTGCGAATCTCTTGTGTGCCAAACAAGTTGCGAAAGATGACAGAGTCAAACGCGCTGATGGAGCCTAGACGGCGACACTGGGGTTGAGATGGAAGCCGGATCGTCGTAGCCGGACGACGGCAGGATACAAAGATTCGCAACATGACTTCAATGTAACTGTATCACAGTTCAATTGACTGCATCGAATGATTGAGTGTCCCACAAGATACTTTATACCACCCCTGGTAAGAGAAGCCATCGTCATGTGGGGTCAGTCAACAGCGTCCCACATTGGGGTAGGAGTGTATCCCATCTTCCCCGGATCCCACTTGACTAGGGATGCTTCAGTCTGGGGGAATGGGTCCAGCTGCCTGCATATTGGACGTGCTGCTTCTGGGTCCCAGCCCGGTGCCATGGTTCTCGGTAGGGGGCTTATAAGTAGCTTGCGTTGTCAAGTGGATCGGGATGCTGACAACGAGACACGACGAGGAGGCATCACCATCATCAGTATAATCCTTTGCACATCACAGCATCATCTACTTCTTACTTGCCCATTACAGAAACTTTAACGCCATGACCATCGCACCCAAACCCCGCGTCCCTGCGACCGACCCCGAAAAGGTCTTCCACTACACCGACCTCCAGAGAACCAAGCCTACTCGCGAGAATGACCCCTACGACTACCAACCCGGCTGGGGAAACCGACACCAGTCTGAAGTAATCCCCGGAGTTCTCCCCATCGGCCAGAACAACCCACAAGATCGCGGCTTTGGGCTGTACACCGAAGGCATCACATACTCTGCCTTTGCAGCTCCGCGGGCCCTCAACTCGAGCACATACATGTACCGCGCCAGGCCTTCTGCGGCTCACCAGGGTTACTCAAACATTGAAACAAAGTCTCATATCGAAAACTGCTTCTTGTCTTTGAATCCAAAGGTTGAAGCCCTCCCTGAGCAGGCAGAGTGGTCACCCTTCCCACTCCCTCCAGACAATGAAAAGATCGACTTCACTGATGGCCTGCACACCCTCGGTGGAAGTGGTGATCCAAATCTCCGCCAGGGCATCGCCGTCTATGTCTACATGATCAACAGCTCCATGGAGAACAAGGCCTATTGCAACACGGACGGCGACTTTCTAATCACCCCGCAACTGGGCATACTGGATATCCAGACAGAAATGGGCAAGCTCTTTGTTCAACCAGGCGAAATCTGCGTCATTCAACGCGGAGTCCGCTTCCGGATCAATTTGGCTGAAGGCATCTCGGTTGCTCGTGGTCACATCGCCGAGGTTTGGGGTTCTACTTGGGAACTCCCTGACCTTGGCCCTCTGGGAGGCCATGGCCTTGCCAACCCGAGGGACTTTTTGTTCCCTGTCGCCCATATCGACGAAGACCTGCACGTACCATTTACCATTGTAGTTAAAAACAATGGAAAGCATGTCGCCATTAAGCAGGACCATAGCCCCTTTGACGTGGTCGCCTGGCACGGCAACTGTGTCCCCTACAAGGTGAGTAGTCCCCTCTTGATATCTTTCATAACTAACAATCCTCAGTATGACTTGACCAAATTCGTCGCCCAAAACTCGACCACAGTCGACCACACCGATCCAAGCGTCAATACGGTACTAACAGCCAAGTCATCCGACCCTCACGTCCCGCTAGCCGATTACCTCTGGTTCGGTCCGCGCTGGGATGTCGCAAGCAACAGCTTCCGGCCACCATACTTCCACCGGAATAGTGCGACTGAACTTTTGGCCTGCATCTACGGGGCTGGGCTCGGTCGGTCTGACGAGTTTCAGCCTGGTGGGTGCAGCTATGAGGGCGGACACACTCCCCATGGAGGCTTCAGTGATGAGTATCTCCTCGAGACGCCACTTCAGGTCAATGAGCCGCGCAGAATCCTAACAGGTGAGTCTTGCAGAATTGAACCTAAAGAGCTATAGCTAACTTGCTTCCAACAGACCAGATGACCATCATGGTCGAGTCCTCACGAACCTTTCTCTTCACCGAGTACGCCCGAAAAATCTGCGGCGTCCTCCACAGTCAGGGTACCGATTACAAGGTCTGGGAGAGGCTACCGGATCGTTTCTCTGCACACCCTCTCACCAAACAGCTGCTCGCCCGCGTAGCGCAGGACAAGGCCAACAGCAAGAAGGCGACTGATTACTACCACTCTCTTGACCTGCTAAAGGGGGCGACCGCCGCTGAGCCAGTCAAGGATATTTCTCCTCATACTAATGGCCATACAAATGGTAACAAAGTGGCGGTGGCTTGATGGGATGAACTTTGAGTGTATGGACCAAATGTTGCGAGGTATTTTATGTATGGATGTCTTATATGCCCAGGGTATTTGCTGTTGGGATCGATTCCTGTCTCTTCTGCCCAAATGGTTCCTCGCTCTCGTCCTCTATGATTTCTTGGTCATTGTCAGCAGAGACTCTCGCTTCATTAAATAGTGCATCATGTTACAATCGCAGTCATCAACCACCTTCAGGCTGATCCTCCACATCTAGCAACGAATCGCTCATGATCCTCAGAATATGACAAAGCCCTTTTGCGTTCCACTTTCCCACCTCCTCAATCAGGCTGGAAAACTCCAGTAGAATCATCTTTGCCGCGTTATAACCTCCTTCACATATCACCCCCGAGAAGCTGATGACGCCGCCTTCTCTGAGGAATCGTCTGGCTGCGTTCTCCTGCCCGTCATCGATGGTAGACCCAGGCGTTGATGTCGTCGCCATACCATTGCCCCCCAGTAAAGGCCAGTCCACCTCGTTGAGAAACTCGTACGGTTCCACGTCTCCGAACCGAGAGTCCTGATTTGGCGGCATCATGAACACATACAGCCCAAGGACCAGCGCCGCAGCAAAGATGGAGACTTCTGAGTGAAACATGGTGCCGTCGCTGATACGTCGGCGGCTCATGGCGGTGTAAACTCCAGCAGCGTGGAGGCAGGCCCGTCGGGCATACCAGGTTTGACTCCAAGCAGCAATATTCTGCAGAGCCTCGTGTGCCCCATCAGCTCCTTTTCTACCCGCAGCGAGCTCAAAGACTTCGAGATTGGCAAACAGGTTGATGTTGAGGAAATGCCACATGACGATACAATTCGGGTTCTTGTACCTGAGGAACCTCGAGTAGGCGGCGTAAATCTCGTTTAGCAAGCCAGATAGCCCTCTTCCGGCCTCGTCAGATGCGAATACTCGGTTAGATGCGTCAGAGAGTCTGTAGCCTCCTGTCGCAGACGGCACCTTGGCCACGCGAATACGAACTTCCAGAATGCGGATCCAGATTATGGAGAGGAGTCCGATGATCCCCACGGGTGAGAGGTTCTGTGAATCTGGCAAGCGTACCGAGGGCTCATGGGTCTGTATCGTGACAGTTCCAGACACAATGCTAGTGCCGCCGTCAACAATTCGCTTCCACGATCTGGCTGACGAAGCTTGGAACAGTTCGACAGAGCATGGAACCTCAAACTGCATCGCTGGGGATCGAATGAGCGGTCTGTCGCCCAAGCTATATGCCCACCAAGCATCCGTCATTATCAAGGCCGAGATCAGTCTACGCACCTAGTTAACAAAGTGGCCCTTGGAACATCTTCTGGTCAACCTACCTTTTTACACTCTCGGCTCTCGCCCAGGCCTTCCAGAGAGCGTCGTCATTCCTTAGTTGACCCTGAGACTCGTTTTGTATCCTGAGCTGTTCCACAAGGCCTCCTAGGCTCGGTGAATCTGGGCAGGCGCTGAATAGACCTGATAGTTGCGCGACCTGGAACAGGTTCATTTGTTAGTCTCCTCATCAACATCGTTGAGGAACGCCTTACAGAAATTGTCTGACTGTACAGCATACGCGCCAAAGTCTCGTTTTGTGTATCCTACATAGGCCAGTTAGGATGCAGCCAGTTAGACTGGTACGCTGGAAAGGGCACATACGACAGGTGGACAGATGGACCAAGCCATTAGAAGCACCGCCGCAGACGTGAGATGTGCAATCAATCTCACCGAGCTACCTGGCCCAAATGACGGCGTTGCCAACTGATGGCAACATTTTTGAGTCGCTGCTGGGAGGAAACTGAAGGCGAAGTCTCTGACCTGTTTTGAGTCGAAATGCACAAGCCCCAGGAGGCATAATGACAGGACGACCAGGTTCGGTGCAGATTTTGCTGAAAATGTAGGGCGGTGGATAAACGGAAGCAGTGAGTGAGGCTGTCGAAAGACAATGTCGAGACCGAGGTTGAGTAATCGCGCGGGCGGAAACTTGCTACTGGACAGGGCATCTGGCACGAACTCGTGAACAAGCTCTTGGCGTTTATCCTCGTCGAGCCCCCATTTCGACTCCTTCTCTTTTCCGATGGACGGCGTAGGTGACGTTTCCGAGATGAAGATGTCGGTCAAGATATTGTCGCCCCTATAGCCCACGACATCGATCCATATCCTCGCGGCGCCGTCGTCAGCCAATCTCGATCGATTGCTGGGCCACAGCCGCGCGACCTGTGCGAATCGCTCGAGGGGAATGCTGCCCGCACGTTCTGTGCTAGCAAATTGGGAGCTCGTCAATGTTGGTGAGTTGCCATTGGCTGTGGACAGATTCAAGAAGTCTAGCGAGTTGAAGTTGCCGTGGAACAAGTCGAGGACACCTTGACAGGCTTCGAGGTCGTTGGAGAATCCATTACCTGTTATCAAGTTAGTCCTCAAAGCCCGATTCCTCAGGAGCTGGACTTGTCTTACTTATCATCAAGGACGACTGCACAAAATCGGTGCCCCCGCTCAACATAACGTGAAAGTCGGTGCTACCATTGATCATTTCTGGTGGTGAGGTCGTCAAATCGGGAACGACGAGATCTTGTGTGGCCGTTGACTCTGGAATAGTATCTGGATGGTTCTCATGAGGTCCTTCAAGTGCAGACTGCGTCATTGCAAATGTAGAGTCGCCATTTAGTCCTTGATTGCGAGCCTGCAACAATGTTGCCGCAGCCAGTGCATCCAATTCTGAGGTGATGAGTTGGTCGGTCGCATCGATTGCTGGCGGATTTTGGCTCATGTTGTCCCCATGATTTGACAAGCCATTGCTGTGATCACCGTTCTTTTCAACCTCATTTTCGGTAGTGCTCCCCCGACGGACGTCCTGGTTCTGTTCAACGGCGCTTTCGGGATTGCTCTGTGTATCATT